CCCAGGTCCCCCCCCGGTAGACCCCCTCCCCCCTCAGGGTCCTGCCCCTTCAGGTGTGTCCCAGGTAGACGCAGTCGAGCCTGTCGAGGTTACTGGTGACTCTGGTGCTGCTGAGGGTGCTGAGCCTGGGGGTGCTGACTCTGGGGGTGCTGAGCGTGTGGGTGCTACGCCTGGGGGTGCTGAGCCTGAGGGTGCTACTACTGGGGGTGCTGAGCCTGAGGGTGCTGAGCCTGGGGGTGCTACTACTGGGGGTGCTGAGCCTGGGGGTGCTGAGCCTGGGAGTGCTACGCCTGGGGGTGCTACGCCTGGAGGTGCTGAGCCTGGGGGTGCGGAGCCTGAGGGAGCTGGGCCTGCTCGTGTGGCGTCTGGCGGTGCTGAGCCTGGAGGTTCTCCGGGTGCTTCGTCTCGGCGGGAGCCACTCTCTCCACAGGAGCTGCGCGAGTGGTTTGCCCGGCGCTGGAGGCGTGCTGCTGGAGCTGGAGGTTCTTCGGCTGCTGAGGGTGCTGGTGCCGCGGGTCCCGGAGGTGCTCGTACTGGGAGTACTGGAGCTGCTGGGCCTGCGGGTACGACTGGAGCTGGAGCTGCTGAGGGTGTTGGCGCTGAGGCTACTGCTGTCGGTCCTGGAGGCGGTCCTGCTGGGGGTGCTACTGGTGCTGCTGGAGGTACTGGAGCTGGAGGTGCTGCTGGCGCTGGTGCTGCCGCTGGGGGTACTGGTGCTGTCCCTGCTGTGTCTGGAGTCGCCGCGCGGCCTCGGCCGTACTTCGTTCCGCTCCTTCAGCAGGTTCTTGGTCTCCCGCCTTCTACTGGTCCTCCTCCTCCCTTAGCGTGTCCACAGCCTGTCCCGTCACAGTTACAGTTACAGCCGGCCTCCCCACTGCCCGCTCCTTCTCCCTACACTGGTCCTACTGGAGGTCTTGCTGAGCGTCGTGAGCCTGCGTCTCGCCCTGCGTCGCCTGTCCGTGCTGCTCGCACTAGTGCTCGTGGTTCGCGTCAGCGTCCTCCTCCTGTCCCTGGCACGCACCGGATGTCTCTGCGTCCGTCCACTGCTCCTCTGCGTGCCCCTTTGCCTTCTCCTCCTGAGTCCTCTCTTCCTGCTCTTCCTGACCCGGAGTCGGACTCTCTTCGTGCTGCCAGTCCTACTGTCACGCGTCTCCTTGCTACTGTTGTCACTGACCCTTCCTTTGAGTCCACTGCTGCGTCTGCCCTAGTTACTGAGCTCGTCGACTTTGCTGCTCGCTGTCGTCTAGACTACGCTGCTAGTCTTGTTGCTGAGTCTGAGTCTGTCTGTCCTCCGTCCGTCGGGGGTGAGTGTGCCCTTGGCACGGACGTCCTTGAGGACAGGCAGGAGGAGTTCCAGTGTTTGGCTGCTGCTTCACCTCATCTCGTGTCCGTACTGCTTACCCCTGAGGGAGACCCGGATGCACTTGACATCCCGACTCCGCGCTCTTACGCGGAGGCGATAGAGGGTCCCTACTCCTCTCAGTGGCAGGCAGCTATGGACGCAGAGATGGCTTCCTGGAAGTCCACAGGCACCTACGTTGACGAGGTTCCCCCGCCTGGGGCGAACATCGTCAGTGGCATGTGGATTTTCAGGGTGAAGCGGCCGCCGGGTTCTCCGCCTGTCTTCAAGGCGCGTTACGTGGCTCGTGGCTTCAGTCAGCGGCAGGGAGTTGACTACTTTCAGACCTTCTCTCCCACCCCGAAGATGACCACTCTTCGGGTACTACTGCACATAGCTGCTCACCGCGACTACGAGCTGCACTCTCTTGACTTCAGCACTGCTTTCTTGCAGGGCAGCCTGCACGAGGAGATCTGGCTGCGTCGCCCACCTGGCTTCACTTGGTCTTTTCCTCCTGGCACCCAGTGGAGCCTCCGGCGGCCAGTCTACGGTCTCCGCCAGGCACCGCGTGAGTGGCACGACACACTGAGGACTACACTTGCGGCTCTTGGGTTTGCTCCCTCTACTGCCGACCCGTCGCTGTTTCTGCGCACCGACACTTCTTTGCAGCCGTTCTACATCCTCGTGTACGTCGACGACTTGGTCTTTGCCACAGCTGACACTGCTGGACTCGCCCACGTGAAGTCCGAGCTGCAGAAGAGACACACGTGCACAGACCTGGGTGAACTGCGCAGCTACCTTGGCTTGCAGATCACCCGGGACAGAGCACGCCGCACCATTACCCTGACTCAGTCACACATGGTGCAGCAGGTCCTTCAGCGCTTCGGCTTCACGTACTCCTCGCCTCAGGCCACTCCTCTGCCTACTCGCCACTCGCTCTCAGCTCTGCCTTCGGATGAGTCCGTAGAGTCGAGTGGCCCGTACCCAGAGCTTGTTGGCTGCCTCATGTACCTGATGACCTGCACACGACCTGACCTTGCATACTCTCTTAGCATTCTTGCACGCTATGTTGCTCCTGGGAGACACAGACCGGAGCACATGGCTGCAGCGAAGAGGGTGTTGCGCTACTTGTGCAGTACGTCGGGCATGGGGCTTGTGCTTGGAGGGCAGAGTCCAGTGGTCCTCACTGGACACGCAGACGCTTCTTGGGCTGACGACCAGGCTACGCAGCGGTCGTCACAGGGTTACACCTTCAGCCTTGGTTCCGGCTCTGTTTCGTGGCGGGCTACTCGCTCGTCTTCTGTTCTCGGCTCCAGTTGTGAGGCTGAGATCTACGCCGGGGCCATGGCTGCACAGGAGCTTCGCTGGATCACCTACCTGCTGACTGACCTCGGAGAGCCGCCTCGTTCTCCTCCAGTGCTCTACGTAGACAACAAGGCCATGCTGGCCTTGTGTCGAGAGCAGAGACTGGAGCACAGAACGAAGCACATTGCTCTTCGCTACTTCCTTGCTCGTGAGCTACAGCAGCGTGGTCAGCTGCGACTTGCGTACGTGGCCTCTGAGGCCAACACTGCTGATATCTTCACCAAGGCACTTGCGCCTTGTGATCATCAGCGCTTCTGTACTCAGCTGGGTCTTGTACCTACCTTGCCTCACTTGCTCACCTCTTGACCTTGTTTGTACTGTTGCATATATATATACTCCTGCTCTTGCTTGTCTAGCCTTATATACATATGTAATCCTGCATGTGAACTGGCCTTGTGGCCTTGAACTTGTGCTCGGAATGTGTGGTGACTTTGTGATCCACCCTGAGCTTGCTTTGCTTTGCTTGACTGGTCTTGTGACCCCTTGTTCTCCCCCACTTTGCCTATGGGGGTGTGTCAGAGTTATATGACATAGCTACTGTAGGCTATAGTGGGGTAGCACATATGGGGTACAGTTGCCTAAGGTTTGCCTTTTGTACCCAACTTTCACTTAGTCATTTCATTCCTGTTTTCTTGATTCACACCAAACAGTATCGAATCCGAAACAGTCATATAAGGTACGTTGGAACACGGGCCACTAGAATAGGCGAAAAGAATCAGGTGGTCCGACGCATTTTTCCAAACATATGGCGATTACGTCGCATTTCTAGCACGTGGCGGCAAAAATCGTCGGTTTTAGGGGTGTCCAACATTCGTTTGTGCACGAATCGAATCCAAAACAGTCATATAAGGTACGTTGGAACACGGGCCACTAGAATAGGCGAAAAGAATCAGGTGGTCCGACGCTTTTTCCAAACATATAGCGATTACGTCGCATTTCTAGCACCTGGCGGCAAAAATCGTCGGTTTTAGGGGTGTCCAACATTCGTTTGTGCACGAATCGAATTTGAAACAGTCCTAGAAGGTACGTTGGAACACGGGCCACTAGAATAGGCGAAAAGAATCAGGTGGTCCGACGCATTTTTCCAAACATATGGCGATTACGTCGCATTTCTAGCACCTGGCGGCAAAAATCGTCGGTTTTAGGGGGGTCCAACATTCGTTTGTGCACGAATCGAATCCGAAACAGTCCTAGAAGGTACATTGGAACATGGGCCACTAGAATAGGCAAAAAGAATCAGGTGGTCCGACGCATTTTCCCAAACATATGGCGATTACGTCGCATTTCTAGCACGTGGCGGCAAAAATCGTCGGTTTTAAGGGTGTCCAGCATTGGTTAGTGCACGAATCGAATCCGCGACAGTCCTAGAAGGTACGTTGGAACATGGGCCACTAGAATAGGCGAAAAGAATCAGGTGGTCCGACGCATTTTCCCAAACATATGGCGATTACGTCGCATTTCTAGCACGTGGCGGCAAAAATCGTCGGTTTGAAGGGTGTCCAGCATTGGTTAGTGCACGAATCGCATCCGCGACAGTCCTAGAAGGTACGTTGGAACATGGGCCACTAGAATAGGCGAAAAGAATCAGGTGGTCCGACGCATTTTTCCAAACATATGGCAATTACGTCTCATTTCTAGCATGTGGCGGCAAAAATCGTGGAATGTTCCCTTATATATGAATTAGCTAACCTTAATATATTGTCGATGGTAGACAACAATGTGTTTCACATGGAATCCTTCTCACTCAATATTTGTGTAAATCAAACAACTTCATGATATCCGCAAGCATTTGAATAGAATAATATATCTCGTTTGGATCTGTCTGCTTATTGAGTAATCCCAAGCAGCACAAACATTACTTCATTTCACCCATGTTCAGCAGTGACAGGCTGAAAATAATTCACTCGGGCAGTCTTACCGACTTGTGAACTATGACAGGAAATTGCGACTGTCGCAAAATCAAGATCCGTCACCGAAACATTCCGAAATCGTTTTACCGATTTGAACAAATAAGCTTGCACTGCCGCAATTTTGTCTTCGAGTCTCTCCATATCGAGTCAAAGGATTTGTCCCGCATCTCTCAACCCAACTTCCAAGCCATCCCCACCCACCACGGACACTTGGCGCGAATTGGCGCCAATCGTCGCATCGTTGCCACGCAGATCACAGCTGGCCAGCAGCGAAAGGCGCGCCGACTGCAGCATGCGCGCCCATCAGCCATCGCAGGGACTCACGTCGCGCTCTTTCCGCTCCTCCGCTCCATCCGTGCGCCCCCCACGCCCCACGCGACCGCTCCATGTCAGTTCCCGCTGCCATTCCCATTCCCGCTCCCGCTCCCCATGCTATCGTCACAGCCGCTCCTCTAGCGCCGCTCGTCTCCGCCTCTCGTGAGAGGAGCGAGTTGCGCAGATGCAGGCGCGACCCGCAGCCGGTAGTTTCCGCGCGCCTGCTCCCTTCCTCCGCCTCCGCTAGTCGCATCGGCGGACGATGCGTCTCCGCAGAAGGAGGCGGAGTGGAGAATCGTAGAGGGCGGAAGTTGCGCGCAGTGCGGGGAAGGCACGGCAACTCAAGGGAATCGGGGGACCGAGCGGAAGAGGAGGGGGTGCGGGGGGCGGAGGGTTCATGGCGCGATGGCGGCAGCTTAGAGGGGGAAGTGGAGGGGGATTTGGACGAGGACTGGCCTGGGGAAGCGGAACGGGGCGCGCGGTTGGGGGGGCGGGCTGGGGGTGGCGGCGGGGGAATGCGCGGGAATGGGGTGGGGGATGAAAGGGGGTCTGACGGTCCGGGACTGGGGGAAGCGCGAGGAGAGAAAGCGCGGATTGCGGCGGAAACAGGCGGGGCTGCAGGTATGGGGGAGGGAGAGGCAGATGGCGAGGGGGGAATGGAAGATGAGGGGGAGGGGGAGGAAGATGGGGAGGAAGAAGGGGAGGAGGGTTGGGATGTTGAGGAGGATTTAGAGGAGGACGAGGAGGGGGAAGGCAGCGAGAGCAGGTGGAGAGTTGGGGGAGGGAAAGGGCGGGTGAGAGCAGGGGGGGCACGCATGGCACCTAGCGTGGCACGAGGGAGAGGGGGCAAGGGCGCGGGCGCAGGGGGAGCAGCAGGCGGGGTAAGCGCCATTGGCGGCCTGCCCTTAGGCCCTGGCGCTGTGGGTGGTGGTAGTGGCGCTGCCAGCATCAACACTGCTCCCAGTGCGAGCAGCAGCAGCACCCCCATGCCTGCCCCCACCCCCATGCCTGCCAACATCCCCACGCCCTACCCCAGCAGCGGCGGTGGCGGCGCCCCCACTGGCGCGTGGCGGCTGCGCCTGGCGGCCCTGTCCGCGCTCTCCGCGCTGAGAGCCGCCCAGCAGCGCGACGAACAGCTCATGGCGCTGGCGGCAGGGGGGGAGACGCAGGGCGAGGGGGCAAGAGGGGAGGGGGCGGAGGGCGAGGGGGCAAAGAGGGAGGGGGTGGAGGGCGGGAGGGCGGAAGGGGAGGAGAAGGGGCGGGCGTGGGCAGGGAGGGCGGACGGGGCAAACGAGGGGGCCCGGGACGAGGGGGAGGGAGTGACGGGTGAGGCGGAGGAGGAAAAGGCAGCAGGTGCGCAGGCAGGGCAGGGTGTGCAAGGTGGGCAGGGCGGGCTGGGAGCGGGCATGTTGGAGGCACTCAAGGCCGCTGCTGCCGCTGATGCTGAGGGCCAGGCGAGGGGCAGAAACCTAACCCCTAAACCACCCCCAGCATCATCACCAGCACCATCAGCATCGGCGTCATCCCCATCAGCATCAGCATCCCCAGGGGGCGTGTCGATCTACGTGAACTGCTCATCAGTGGGGCTGCAGCGAGTGGCAGTGGTGGAGGAGGGGCGCCTGGTGGAACTCATCGTCGCCTCTACCCCGCCCCCCTCCCTCCCCCACCCGCCACTGCCCTTCCGCTCCTCCCCTCGCAGCCCCATCCACCCCACCACCACCGCCACTGCTGCTGCTGCTCCATCTGCTCCTCTCACCCCACTCACCGCACCCAGCCCAACCACATTCCCACCCACAGCAGCATCAGCAGCAGGCAGCAGCGTGTTTCCCACACCTCCCTTGGCCTCTCCTCCCCTTCCCCCTGCCCCATGGGGCGTGCGCGTGGGCGACGTGTACCTGGGGGTGATCCGCTCGCTGCATCCGGGCATGAAGGCCGCGTTTGTCGACATCGGGGGCGCCGCGCCCTCGCTGCTCAACCTGGCCCACAACGACCGCCCCCTCACCTTCCCGCCCACTGGGGGTGATTCTGCCCTGGCGCATGCATGGGGTGCCACGGCTGTGGTGGGGGGCGGTGGTGGGGCGACAGGCGCAGGGGAAGGGGCAGGGACAGGGGCAGAGGGAGAGACAGAGACAGAGACTGGCAGAGGGGCAGCGATTGATGCAGACGCACGGACAGGCAGTGACATAGGCAGAGAGAATGGTGCGGTGGCAGGGGTGGAGTCAGGTATGGGAGCAGGGTGGGATGCAGGGAGGCAGTCTGGTGGGCTTGCTGCTGCCGGGGCTGGCATGGTGGTGGGCCGGGAGGAGACAGGAGGTGGGGCAGGTGCCGTGGACGGTAGTGCCGGCGTGTGGGTGGGCGTGGGGGTCGAGCACGGGGGGTTGATTCAGGGATGGGACGCGAGAGGCAGGGAGGACAGGGGTGCAGTGGTGGTGGCAGGTATGCAAGGGGATGAAGAGGATGGGGATGATGATGATGATGATGATGCTTTTGAGGAAGAGGAAGAAGAAGAGGAGGAAGAGGACGACGAGGAAGGAGAGGAAGGAGAGGAAGACGATGAGGGTCACGAAGAGGACCTGGATGAGTGGCATGAGGATGACATGGTGGAGGAGGGAGAAGAGGAGGAGGAGGAGGAGGAGGAGGAGGAGGAGGAGGAGGAGGAGGAGGAGGAGGAGGAGGAGGAGGAGGAGGAGGAGGAGGAGGAGGAGGAGGAGGAGGAGGAGGAGGAGGAGGAGGAGGAGGAGGAGGAGGAGGAGGAGGAAGAAGAAGAAGAAGAAGAAGAAGAAGAAGAAGAAGAAGAAGAAGAAGAAGAAGAAGAAGAAGAAGGGGAGGAGGAGGAGGTGGAAGGGGAGGAAGAAGAGGGGGAGTGGGTAGACGTGGAGGGTGAGTTCGAGACTGACCTCGAGGACGACAGCAGCAGTGATGCCAGGCATGCTGCTGCTTCTCCCTTGCCTGCTGCTGCTGATCCGGATGTTGATGCTGATGGCGATGCCATGTCGCGGCAATTGAAAGGAACAGAAGGGAGTGAGGATGAGAGAGAGGCGTGGGAGCGTGTGGAAGGTGATGCTGAGGAGTTGAGTGAGGAGGAGGAGGAAGAGGAAGGAGGAGGGTGGGAGGAGGGGGAAGAGGAGGAATGGGAGATGGAGGGGGAAGAAGCGAGGGCAGATGGGAGGCGGCGGAGGAAGAAGGCTGTGAGGAGGCGAGGCATGGGCGCTGGTGATGATTGGGCGGAGGAGGAGGAAGAAGAAGAGGAGGAGGATGAGGAAGAGGAGGAGGAGGAGGATGAGGAGGAGGAGGAAGCAGAGGAGGAAGAAGAGGAGAGCAGTGGGGAGGCAGAGAAGAAGCATGGGGGGGAACAGAAGCCCGAGGAGGAGAAGGAAGAAACAGCAGTAGAGGTGGTGGGGAAGGCAGGGAATGGGATTGACAGTCGGGACCCCACCAATGGCTTAACCGAGTGCCTGCCTGCTCATGCCGCCTCTTCCCTCTCTCTCGCCCTGCACACCCGCCCACTCCCCCTGCCTGACCCTTCCCCGCCCTCCATACCCCCTTCCTCCCTACCCCCTCCTCCGCAACTCCAGCCTGCCCTCCCATTGCCCTCCCTCCCCTTCGCCCTCGCATCAGCAGACCCCCTTGTTGACCCTGCTGCACCCCTGCCCTCACCCCTGCCCTCACCCCTGCCCTCACCCCTGCCCTCACCCCTGCCCTCACCCCTGCCCTCACCCCTGCCCTCACCCCTGCCCTCACCCCTGCCCTCACCCCTGCCCTCACCCCTGCCCTCACCCCTGCCCACACCACCACAGCTTGATGCTCTCAACGCGTTCCCCACCGAACCCGCCTCTTTCCACCCTTCTGCCCCTCCCCACCCGGCCGCCAACCCTGTCCCGCTGTACCCCAAACCCTCCCTCCCATCGCCACCCCCCTCCCCTCGTGCCCGTTCTGCTTCTGCCCCGCGTCTTCCCGTTCCAACCTCCACCACCACCCCCACCACCACCACCACCGGCAGCAGCAGCAGCGGCGGCAGTGAAAGCAGAGACGAGAACGGGGCGGGTAGGAGGGTAGATGAGAGGGAAGCGGAGGTAGAGGAAAGGGAGGCAGGAGAAAGGGCAGAGGAGCCGCAGGCACAGCAGCAGGAACAGCAACAGCAGGAGGAGCAACAGCAGGAGGAGCAGCAGGGGAGGAGGAGGCAGCAGCAGCAGGAGCAGCAGCCAGACCCTCCTCTCCGCCGCCCCTCCGGCCGCCCCCGCCTGCTCTCCCTCGCCGCCACCCTCCCCCTGCCCCTCTCCCCCTCCCCCCGCCGCCGCTACTCCGCCCTGCTCTCCCAGCAACTCAACCTCCCCCTCCCCCCCGCCCCCCCCGCCCCTGCCAGCGCCAGGGGGAGGAGGAAACGGGGGGGAGGTGGCAGCAAGGGGCAAGGGGGGAAGGAGGGCGCTGGAGGCAAGGGGTGGGGGGAAGGCATAAGAGGGGGCGGAGGGGAGGGCAGTGGGCAGAGCAGGCAAGGGGGGGCAGGGGGAGGGGCGGTGGGTGGAGAGGGGGAAGGGGGGGGTGGGTGGGTAGATGCTGCTGCCAATACAAGTGAGTCCACCTGGGGGGTTGAGCCACTGCCAGGGGTGCGCCGCCCGAGGGTCAGTGCGCCGCCCTATGCGGCGGGCGGCAGGCTGGGCGGCGGGCGGCTGACAGTCATCCCGGGGTCCCGAGGCCAGCCGAGGAGCCGCCGCTCGGCAGCGTGGTCGCTGACGTGGCGCCAGCTCATGGAATCGCGGCGGGCGGCGAGAGAGCGAGCGAGACGCGCGGGGGCCATTGAGGGAGGGAATGGCGAGGGGACGAGGGGGAGCGAGGAGGCGAGGGAGGGGGGAGCAGAGGGCGAGGACGAGCGGGAGGAGGAGGAGGAGGAGCAGTATGAGGAGTGGGGGGAGGTGCGGGCGGGCATGCTGATTCTGGTGCAGGTGGTGCGCGGGCCCATTGGCGCCAAGGACTCCGTGCTGCGCGCCTTCCCCGTGCTCGCAGGCCGCTGCTTTGTGAGTGCTCTTTGCACTCTGCCCTATCTTTTCCGCTCCCTTCAATCCTTTCCACCCCCTTTCTCTCTTCCCTCCCCGAATTCTCTCCTCCCCGGCCCTCTATCTCTATCTTCTCATCTTCCTCTGTCCCTCGCCCCACCCTGCGCCCATCAGCGGCTGGTGCTGAGGGGAACAGGGCTGGTGATGCCAAGGGGAGTGGCAGCAGAGGAGGCAGCGCGCATACAGGCCATTGTTGCTCGCCTCGCACCCACCCGCTCCTTCTCCATCCAGGTGCGCTCCTGCCCTAATGCACATTACCGCACTGCACCCCCTTCCTCCTGCTGCTGCCACCTCTTCCCTTCCCCTCTCCTGCTGCGCTACTTCCCTCTCCTCTTGCCTATCCCCTTCGCTCCCCTCCCCGCGCACCTCCTCCCCTCCCGCTCCTCTCTTATGGTTCGGACCGCAATGCCGCTGCCTGCCTTGTCTGCATGTGCCAACCCCACCCTGCACTCGCCCCACCACTTCACTCGCCCTCCCTTCGCTCCTCCCGGCCTGGGTCCCAGCAGGTGCGGCAGGCAGCGGTGGGGAAGGGGGAGGGCGAGCTGGGGGAGGATCTAGCAGAGCTGGTGGCGCGGTGGAGAGCGGTGCTGGCGCGTGCGAATGCGGTGGCGGGGCATGTGAGGAGCGTGGCGGACGTGCCGGCTGTGGGCCCCACGCTGCTGCTGCAGGGCACACCCATGGCTCTTGATGTCATCCACTCGCTGCTCGTGCAGCACCACCAGGTCGGTGGGGCACAGCAGGTGGGGAGGGTGGAAAGGTGTGGCTTCACAACGTGCCGGCTGTGGGCCCCACGCCCATGGCTCTGGATGTCATCCACTCGCTACTTGTGCAGCACCACCAGGTGGGGAATATATGAGACAGCCCCATGTCAAGGTGGGAGTTTCACATCGCTCTCCCAGCAGATGGGGTGGGCCACACATGGGGTTTCACAACAGACCAACGTTGCGGGTCGAAGCACGCATGGCCCAGGTGGTGATGGAGACGCTGGTGACTTCAAGTGCTTGGTCACTGACTTGGGCATCGACTTGGTTGATTGTGCTTCATTAGCCTCCGCACCACTGCTGCATCATCCCACGCCCCTTTGCCCCTCTCTCCTCATCCACCACCCCTCTCTTTTCCATGATCCACATTTAACCTCCTTCCTCCCACCTCCCTTGTACTACCTGACCTTATTCCTCTCCTCACCGCCCCACCTCACCACAGGTGTCGCGCCTTGTGGTTGACTCGCCTGCCTTCCTGCAAGAGGTACGCCCTCTCCCTCATTCCATCCCCTTCTCCCTGATTCCATCCCCTTCTCCCTGATTCCATCCCCTTCTCCCTGATTCCATCCCCGTCTCCCTGATTCCATCCCCTTCTCCCTGATTCCATCCCCGTCTCCCTGATTCCATCCCCTTCTCCCTGATTCCATCCCCTTCTCCCTCATTCCATCCCCTTCTCCCTGATTCCATCCCCGTCTCCCCGATTCCATCCCCTTCTCCCTCATTCCATCCCCTTCTCCCTCATTCCATCCCCTTCTCCCCGTCCGCACTCGCTTGTGTGCTCCTGTGGCCATCTCCTGTTTTGTGCCTAAACAAAAGGCTCCCGCATTCACTTTGCTGCGTCCTCTTCCCCTCTTTCCCTGGTGCACGCACGTGCCTGCATGCCAGCTGGAGGCGTATCTACAGCGCATGCAGCCGGCGCTGTGTGGGCGGGTGCAGCTGCATGCGGGCCCAGCGCCCATCTTTGACACCGCCCACATCGAGCCCGCCCTGCTCTCCGCGCTGCACCGCTGGTATGCACCCGTTGTTGATGCTGGGCGTGCTGTGTGGGGCGTGCTTGCTGCACCCGCGTGCTTCCCTCTCACCATCGCGTCTTGCAACCATCTCCCCACTCACCTCCCTCTGTCTGCCAACCGCCACTCCTCTCTGCCAGTGTACCACTGCCAGTGTACCACTGCCAGGGTGGCTCCCTGGTGGTTGACGAGACACAGGTGCTGCTGGCCATACACGTGAACTATCTCTCTCCCTCCCTGCCTCCCTCCCTCCATCCCTCCTCTCTCTCCCACCGCCACATGGCTGCATGCCAGTGTGCCACTGGCACGGGGCGGGTCACTGGTGATAGAGGAGACAGAGGCGCTGGTGGCGATAGGTGTGAACAGCGGGTGAAGCGTGCTGCACCTCCACCCTCCATTCCTGCCTCCCTGCATTGCCGTACCTCCCTCTCTCCCTCTCTCCACACCAGTGTCCCCCTGGCAGGCGGCGGGTCCCTGGTGATAGAGGAGACGGAGGCGCTGGTGGCGATAGACGTGAACAGCGGGTGGAGTGTGCTGCAGCCCACGGCACGGCAGGAGGACACCTTCCTTGCTGTCAACCTCGCTGCTGCCAGACAGGTGGGTGCTAGAACCTGTGGTCGCCAGGTGGGCATCTGCAACGCCTGTGCTGCTGCTGGACTGGTGCGTTCTGAGTCGGCTCAAAGGCACCTCACGCTGCAGCCCAGCCCAGGGCACGGCAGGAGGACACCTTCCTCGCTGTCAACCTCGCTGCCGCCAGACAGGTGGGTGCTATCTGCAGCACGTGCGCTGTGGTGCTGCGAGGCAGGTGTGTTGCTACAGCACCAGTGCGGCTGCTGAGCGGTGAGCCGTGTGTCCTGAGTCGCCTCAATAGTCACCGCGTGCTGCAGCCCAGCCCACGGCACGGCAGGAGGACACCTTCCTCGCTGTCAACCTCGCTGCCGCCAGACAGGTGGGTGCTATCTGCAGCACGTGCGCTGTGGTGCTGCGAGGCAGGTGTGTTGCTACAGCACCAGTGCGGCTGCTGAGCGGTGAGCCGTGTGTCCTGAGTCGCCTCAATAGTCACCGCGTGCTGCAGCCCAGCCCACGGCACGGCAGGAGGACACCTTCCTCGCTGTCAACCTCGCTGCCGCCAGACAGGTGGGTGCTATCTGCAGCACGTGCGCTGTGGTGCTGCGAGGCAGGTGTGTTGCTACAGCACCAGTGCGGCTGCTGAGCGGTGAGCCGTGTGTCCTGAGTCGCCTCAATAGTCACCGCGTGCTGCAGCCCAGCCCACGGCACGGCAGGAGGACACCTTCCTCGCTGTCAACCTTGCCGCTGCCAGACAGGTGGGCATGTGCAGCATCTGTGCATGCGCTTGCCTGGGGGCATTCGTGCCCTTGTGTGCCTCTCCTGCCCTGCTGCTTCTCCCCTATCTCACGTTCAGTATGGCAGAGGTGCGTGTCAGGTGTGCATGCCGCTCTCGCACTGCAGTGGTCCATGCACTCCCCATAAAAACACTGCCGAACGCCCATGCGTGTCCATCCATGCCTTGTGCTCCTCCATCGCCTAATGCCCGGCTGAGTCGCAGGTGCCATCATGCTCTTTCTGTGCAGTAACTGCTGCATCACCTGCAAGGCAGCCGGGCATTAGGCGATTATTTCCCGCCCCACTGCTGCTCCCCTCCCCTGCCATGGCAGATTGCGGTGGAGCTGCGGCTGAGGGACCTGGGAGGGCTCGTGGTCATAGACTTCATTGACATGCATAAAGGTGACTGCCTCTCCCCTGACTCTCTTCATTCCATTGACTGGATTGACTTCGTTGACTGGATTGACTTTGTTGACTGGATTGACTTTGTTGACTTGATTGACTTTGTTGACTTGATTGACTTTGTTCATTCCATTGACTTCCTTGACTTTGTTGACTGGACTGACTCCATTCACATGCATTTGCGAATGCCTCTCAGTGCTGCTGTGCTGATCCTACTAGGGAATCACACATGCCATCTCTTTCCCCCCTCCTTTCCCCCACCTCCTCTCTCGCAGCGGAGCACCGGAGGGCGGTGGAGGAGGAGGTGAGGAGGGCGATGGGGGGGGACCGGCGCAAAGTGCGAGTGGGGGAGATCTCGCAGTTCGGCCTGCTTGAGCTCACCCGCCAGCGCGTGAGTGCTCTCTGGGTCCGTTCCCTGCGGTGCAGTGCGATGCCGTGCGGTCCTCCCATGTGCTCTGTGGCTTGGTGTGGTGCAGTGCCACGTGCTGTGTGTTGGCCAATGCAGTGAGCCATGTCCTATCCTTCACACCCCTCATCCCCATGCCTGCTCTCACCTCTCCTCTCACCCTCCCCCCCTCCCCACCTGCACATGCCATCAGATGCGTCCAAGCCTTGCCGCCTCGTTGACGGCGCCGTGCAGGTGCTGCTGGGCGGCAGGGCGGGTGGAGTCACGCCTGGCCATGCTGGCCCGCCTCGAGCGCGCCCTGCAGCGCTGCCTGGTGCGCTCACCTGCTGCTGATTCTGGGGGGACTTTGGCCCGGGCGGGTGCGGGGGGCAAGTTGGGGGGTGCAGGTCTGGGGGAGGCGCTTGTGTGGGGGACACATTGGGGGGTGCAGCGATGGCAGGGGGTTGAGTGGGTGCGTGATAGATTGTGAAGGCCTTGCCGGCCTCGTCTGACCATCTGCATCTCATCCCACCCCCTTTCCTCCCCTCACCCATGCACCACCATGTGCACCCCTTCCTTCCCCGCACCCATGCACCCTGTACGCGCGCCTCTTAACCCTTCCCCCATCCCCCCCTTGCCAACGGCAGGCTCAGTGTGCAGCAGCGGCAGGCAGCAAGCAGGGCAGGCAGGGAAAGGGGGCCAGGGAGAGACGGCGGGAGCGTAGGGCCCAAGCAGCAGCAGCAGAAGCAGCGAGTGGTGGGGGTGAGGAGGGTGAAGAGAGAGAGGGCGGGCGTGAGGAGGTGGTGGTGGGTCTGACTGCTTCCCCTGCCACGTGTGAGCAGCTGCTCATGGGACCCGCTCTGCCTGATGGCACTCCCTCACTCGTCCACGTCATCTGTGCTGCCCTCCACGTCACCCTGCACATACAGGTGTGTGTGAGCAGCACATGTGCTGACTGGATCCATGCCCGTTCCTCCAGTGGCTGTGCGCACCTGTGGCATGCCCAGGGCTGCACCATGCCTGAGGTGGGAGGCGTGTCGTTGGGTGCACAGCATCAGGTTTATTGCATGCATGGCAGTGCGAGCATCCACCCCCATCCATGCCCATTCCCATTCCCATCCCCATGCACATGTCCCAATCGCCATCCTAATCCCCATCCTTCTCCCCATCCCATGCCTCACTCACCGCCATCACCAGGTGGATGCAGCGCTGCCGTACGGCTACTTTCTGCTCTCCCACAATGGCCGTTCCACCGTCGACCCGCCGCTCACCCCCCACGACCCTCCCGCCCACGTCGCGCCTGCCTTCAACATCCCCGCGTATCTCGCCTCTATCCCGTCCGGACCTTCGACGTACCCCTCTCCTTCCACGTACCCGCCTTCTCATGCGGCCTCCCTACCACTGGCACCACCACAACTAGCAACAGCAGTGTATAGCACTAGCAGCAGTGCCACTAGCAGCAGTGCCACCAGCAGCACAGCCTCCAGCAGCAGCAGCAGCAATGGCATGCGTGTGTTCGTGCAGCCTCTACCAGCCGGTGCCTCGGTGCGTGCCGACGCCCTAGTGCCGCCCAGAATCACCGTTTCCCCTCTGTGGCCTGCTGCCGGCCAGCCCAGGGGGAGCGAAGGCACCCCAGAGCTGCCTGCCTCCAGTGCACCTGCACTGCCCAGCTCTGATGCTGCCGCTGCTGGTGTGAGAACAGGCTCAGCAGAAGCAGTGCAGCGTGGGAGTGAGCTGGCAGGGGGCAGCGGAATGGTGATGCGGAGGAAGGCGGTGGGGGAGGCAGGGCCGGCAAGGAGTGCGAGGAAGAGTTCCAGGAGTAAGGCGAGTGGTGGTGTTTCTGGTAGTAAGGCTAGCAGCAGCAGCAGCAACAGCAGCAGCAGCAGCGACGGCAAGAGTAGTGGTGGTGGCAGTGGTGGAAGCAGCAGCAAGGGTGGCCAAAGTGGGGGTGCTTCAAAGGTGGAAAAGGTGAAAAAGGCTGTGAAGAAAAAAAAGGAGGATGGGGGAGTTAGTGTAGTGACAAAGAGACGACAGAAGTGAAGGAGCAGTGCATTTATTGCATGGAAAGAATGTATGCCAGCAGATACCTGCCGATTGGCTTCAGAAACTGACAGCATGTAATATTATTGCCATCCAATCTGCTGACACAAACAAATAGTGATTATTCTCAGAAGAATCAATGTACCAGACTGAGAGGGCAAAGCCTTGGTTTGACTTGGGGTCAGTCATTTTCAAGCCTTTTCTGTATCTGTTATTGCATAAAACTGAGCCCCAATACATACGTATGTATTTACACAACGTGTAGCTATTCTCAAAGGGACAGGGCTTTACGGAAAGGGAGAGTAGCCCACCGCCCGCTGGATTTGGGGGCCTCTTCTGTGTGGTTTGTCTGCTTCTGACACTGTTGCTGTCAGGGTCAGGAAGGGGGGGAAGAAGGAACACACATGCCAGGCCGGTCACGTGGCAGCTTTTTGTTGACTAAAGACCCATTCGCGTGGAATCGGCGCCTACTCAGCGCACCAAGGCCCAATCCGCATCGACCTTTCTCGACATTCGCGTTTTGTCCACGAACTCTGGTACAACCACCAGCCACTCAAATCGCGTTACCTTTTCGCCTGCCCCTCCAGTCCACCCCTTCGTGGTCTGATTGGTGGATAGAATCGCACTTGCTTCACCGACCATCTCCATCGTGATTCTGCCATCGATCACATCCCAGCCGTTCCCTTAGCTGCGGATGGATCAGCTGATTCCCCCTGGGCTTCTCCCTCCGTTTCCCAGGGGCCAGGTAAAGTTCACCTCGATCTTTGTTCCGCCATTTCGATCCACACATCTTCCTGAACTTGCCTCATCTCTCCTCTCCAACCTCGATATCTCTTGTCTGCTCTACGATCTCTTTGGACTTAGCTAGCAGCACCAGTTGCCACGGCTATTATTGATTAGCTTTAGATCAACGCGCAGCTGACGTTCTTCCAGCAGCCATGGCAGCCATATCCTCACCAATAACCTCGAGAACGCCGTGCAGGCATTTGTCATCCTGTAGTCAGCGACAACAGACATGGTCGAGCTCTCAGGTCTCCAGCTCTGCACTGCAACCGCATAGAACACGCCAGTCCCGGCAATCATGCACTAGGGCCATCGCTGTTGTCCCAGGGACTGTCAGCAAGCGCACGAAGCAATACCAGCTGGAGTTCCTGCAAACGACAGCCAAGCCGAAGCCGCAAAGCCCGGTGAGGCAGGTATCGGACGCCGGGTTGACCCGACGACAACGGTTTCAGCAAGATGAGGACGGCGGGCTGCCGTCGAGACAGATTGCGCTGATTGCGACTGACGTGGATGGGACTCTGCTTAACAGCAACCACGCCTTGAGTGAACGGACCGAGAGAGCGCTTTTGATGGCGCAAGAGCAAGGCATCCAGGTTAGCATCAATCTGATTTTCCAAGTTTTCTCCTTGTCAAACCTGCTCATATGATCTCTGGAGCTGGTGTACTTTCCAGCAGCGGTCATTTAAGTAAAAGCCTTTTTGTGTGTGTGTGTGCAGGTCGTTCTGGCCACTGGCAAAGCAAGGGGACCGTGGTTTCCTGAAATCAAGGAGCGGCTGAAGCTTGAAACTCCTGGAGTCTTTTTACAGGTAAAATTATCGGCACTCTTGTGATTTCCAATCTTTATTAGTCATGCGGAATTCGTCTCACCAACCTTCATCGTCGCATTGCCTCGCTTCAGGGTTTGATGGTTTACAGTGCGGACGGAACTTTGTTGTACGAGCGAGCCATGGCGGAGGATGTGGCTCGGCAGGTTATTCGGTTCGGAAAGTCCGAAGGCGTCACGCTCACGGCCTACTGTGGCGAGAGAATGTAAGCGCTGTGAACCTGGTGGCATTCGCCTCTCCTCCTTCGTGTCAGTGACTCGCAGGGCTGAATTCTACGCAATTAAGTGGTACACGAGGTGTTCCGTTAGCGAATAAAGAGCACCCAGTTTAAAAGAAATGTTTCATTTCACATTGGTGAGTTCTGCTTATCAACTCCAAGTTTCATGTTTTCAAATTGATTGCCAGATTGTGTGAAGAAAGGGACGAGCACACTGACCGTCTGATTCCCTATGGCGAGCCAATCCCAGAAGCCGTTGGGCCCCTTGGGGACCTCATTGGCATCACATCCATTCACAAGGTGTGCTGCTCAGCGTCACTGCTCTCTCCTTGACCACTCATGTGTTTCTTTATTCCCAAGCTCTCTCCCAATCCGCCCTTGAATTACATGATTTCAAGCTTCGTGACTGAATGTAATGGATGATATATGTGATTACCCATTCTTGCTGAACCATTTTTTCCAACATCCCCATCTCTTCCATACGACCCCTCCAGCTCATTCTCATGGCTGACGACGATACCTTGGCAGCACTGAGGCCTCGTTTGGACGCGGAGCTGGGTGGCAGAGGGTCGCTCATCACATCAGTGCCTGGCATGCTAGAAGTGCTTCCAGTTGGTGCTTCCAAGGCCACGGGCCTTGCCACTGTGCTCGACACTATGGGTCTGCACCCGCAGCAGGTCATGGCGGCAGGAGATGGTGAGTTGATGGCAAATACTTGCAGCCTCTTCACCCTTTTTGTGTGGATCTATTTGTTGCCACCTGTCTTTATGAGGTCAGGATTCTAACTTCGATCCTGAAATTCCTTGTAATGGCAGGTGAAAATGACATTGAGATGCTCCAGATGGTTGGTTTGGGTGTGGCAATGGCAAATGCTGGCCCTTCGGTCAAGGCAGTGGCAGACCATGTGTCGAGCTCAAACGACCATGATGGCTTGGCGGCTGCTGTTGAGAGATTTGCCCTCACTGCTGGACTCTGGTGCTGGGACTAGGGTGCGCGTGTAATCACTACCAGTGCCCTAAACTATACTAGCTTCAGATTGTGCTGCTTAGGGGAATTCAAGATATTGAGTGAGTACAGATTTCAGCTAGATAAATCAATGAAAGCTTCTGATTGTTGCAGATGTCATGAGGTTCTGTGATTCAGATGAAAGAAGGATTTAGGGTGAAACACAAAATTTATCTCTTGTCAAGAGAATATTAACGCAAGCTGATTGTGTATATTTCCGTCATATCAAAGAGTACTCAAAAGTACAAGTAGATCGTTTAACTTTGGCGTGACCTGATGCGTTCTGTTTTAGTTCATCTCGTTTGTAGGATCACTCGATGCTGTTCATCTCGTCCCCCAAATTGCGCCGTCCGCAGACATTCCGTTGGAGCAGCAGCCCCGCAGGCATCGTGTTCTGAGGCTGCGCTCCGCAAAACTCCCGAATCTGCGCCTTCTCTGTGGTGTGTCAGGCTTTTGGGGGAGCACATTCACAAGCCCGCGCTATTTGACGGATATTATTGCTATCCTTGCTGGAACCGTTAGGCTCGACGTTCTTGGCGACGCCCACGAGTTTCGCAAAAGTCTGTTGTTCGAGCAGAGGACTGATGCAATGCAGTAGCGAAAAAACTATTACGTCGCAAGTGGTATGTCGCTTGTCGCACTCACATTTCGTCACTTGGCCGTTTGTTGGAAGTGATGCGCGCCCGCGGAAGTTCGCGGGCGAATTGTGTCGGCGGTGCTTCCTCTCCCGCCGCTTGGCCCACCTCGGGATTGGTTGGGATTACTCTGGGCTGTGCTGAACAATTCCAGTGACAGCTCAGAAACTGTGAGAGTAACCAGACACACAACAGAATCCAACCACTTTGCAATCATCTCAACCGAGCACAACATGACCATCTATCGTCTCGATCCCAGTTCATACGAATCCCCCCCACCCCAACTTGGGCAAACCAGCGCAACTCTTTCAGCTCATCTCCTCTCTCCCGATTCCGTACCTCTTCGCCTGCACTGCCTTTCTCTCTGGCATTGCGGAGTTTTCTACTTGTTTTGGCCGCTAGTCACGGTCTCCATGGCGACGATTTCTCTCTTCCTCGTGAGCGGCTTTTCTTGTGATCGCTCGGTTTTGCTTCTCGTCGACGGCTTTCTCTAATGGTCGCTCGCTGGCTGCGTTTTCCACGGTACCGTTTCCTGCGGGGATTTGTCTTCTCCATGCCGTTCACACGGCGATGAATCAATAATGTCCGAATAGTACGTCCAACCAGGTCAGTCTTCCAATATGCGATTCTCCGAATAAGTTTTATTCGCCGCGAGATTTCATCGTCGATCAGATTTCACGTTTCGCTGTCGCGCATCTCAAATAATCCTCTCTCGATTTGCACTTCTTGCTCCGTTGAATCTCAACAATCGCATTTCTCGTCCCTACTACTCGTCGTTGTTGCTGTTTTGCTGCGTCATTATCACCGCTCGTTATCCCAAATTCCTCACTCCCCGTTATTGTCTGTGTTCAGATGCAACAGACGACGCTATCGAAATCGTCCGCGCGTAGTCGCACGGCGAGACCGTCGTCCGCGCGTCGGCGCACGGCGAGACCGTCGTCCGCGCGTCGTCGCATGGCAAGATCGTCGTTCGTGCGTCGTCGCGTGGCGAAATCGTCGTCCGCACGATGTACCCCTGCGAAATCGTCGTCCGCGTGTCGCCGCACGGCGAAATCGCTGTCTGCGCGTCGTCGCACGGCCAAACCGTCGTCCGCGATTCGTTTCATGGCGAAATGGTCGCACGGTTGTGCCTCCGTTGACGTGGGCTGCAGCTGCACTCTCGGTGCTTCTTCAACCGCCAGCTAAGTGCCTTCTCCTCCCTCCACTCTCCCTCGCTTGCTGTCCACCGTTGCTGCTCACCGTTTCTCCCTGAACTACTCGCCACTCGCCACTGGTTGGGGTCCGCCTCACAAGCAACAGACCCCCACCCCCCATTGCAGGTAAACCCATCAGGTACAGGTTCAGCCCCCCTAAAGCCTTACAGCCCCCTCAGGTTCCCCTGGGGGTCTGTGGCTTGTGGATGTGCTCCTCCAGTGGCCCCTCCCTTGCCTTGCCTGTTGTTCCTGCCGTCACGGCTGCTGCACTCTCCATTCCCCATCCCACTCTCGCGCCCACCTCCCCCGCTGTCTTCGTTCCTCACGGCCGTCCCCTCCCTGCCCTCCCCGCCCTCCCATCCCTTCCTTGCCAGGCGAGCGCAAGGCAAGGGGAGGACGGCAGGCGAGGGGAGCACCAGGGCGGGCAGCAGGAGCACGGGCAGCGGGGCAGCAGCGCCGGCCTCATCAACGGTCGAGGTTGCAGTATCGCCCCTGCCACCACACTCCACTTGAGCCCACTCCCCCTCAGGTTCAGGTGCAGGTTCAGGTGCAGGTTCAGGTTGGTAGCGGCTCTTGTGGGGTTGTGGTTGGCGTCACATGCACTGTCGTTTCTGCTGTTGCACGTGTGTTTGACAATTTTCTCCATTGCAACCCCTCTTACTTTCGGCTGCCTTTCCTTTCCGTCCCTTCAACCCCCGCTCGCCCTGCCCACTCTCCACTGAAGCACCCCCTCCGCTTGCACCACACAATCAGCTAAGTACCCGTTCCCCCATGCGCTGCCTGCCATGCCGTTTCATTCGTTTCATATGCTGTTGCACCGTTTTCTTGAAACAATGCCACTGGTTGAGTACTGCTCACATGCTACAGACCCCCACTCTTCAGGTAATTCCTTCAGGTGCAGGTACACCCCTCAGGTTTTTTTTTCAGGTGCCCTTGGGTCTGTAGCTTTTGGCCGTGCCTCCACCAATGGCTCTTCCCTTCTCTTGCGCTGTGTGCTCATTCACCCATTCAACTTGCTCCCACCACCGCGCTCTGACTAGCTCTGTGTGTGCGCATTGCAGGTGGCGGGGAGGGGTGTGGGGTCAACACCGACGCTCCCTCACGCCCCTCCCCTGTGGCCGTGCAGGGAGGAGGCACCTGGAGGAGGGCTGCTGCGGAGGGAGGCAGCTGGTGGTGCTGCAGCTGCCTTGAACTCGCTCTCACGCTATCAGCTAAGTCACCCACCTCCATGCCCTCACCCTTGCCCGCCACATCATGGCTTGTTGCTTTCTTGCTGCCATTTCGTTTGCCCGTTGTGCTTTCACCCTTCCCTTTGAAACAATGCTATTGGTTAAGCGCGGTTCACATGCTACAGACCACCCCCACTCTTCAGGTAACCCTCTTAGGTGCAGGTACACCCCTCAGGTTTTTTTTCAGGTGCCCTTGGGTCTGCAGCTTGTGGCCGTGCCTTAACCAGTGGCTCCTCCTCCCTTCTCTTGCACTGGATTGGATTTCAATGGTCTCCCATTCAACTTGCTCCCACCACCGCGCTCTGACAAGCTCTGTGTGTGCTCATTGCAGGTGGCGGGGAGGGGTGTGGGGTCAACACCGACGCTCCCTCGCGCCCCTCCCCTGTGGCTGTGCAGGTGGCAGCGGTGGGAGGGGAGGGGGGCAGCACTCCACTCGGCTGGGATGGGATGGGAGAGTATCGGGATGGGGTCGTCTGGAACAAGGTGAGTTTCTTTTCCCTCATGCACTCATGCTGCTGCTTGATCTTCTCCCCATGCTCACTTTTCTTTCTTGCTCGCTCCCTGCCTTCACGCGTCTCCCTGTTCTCACTGCTGCCCCTTGATCCCCTGCCTCCCTCCATCTCCCCTCCCTCTCTCCTCCCTCCCAGAGCATTGAAGGCTGTAGCAGCGTAGCAGCAGGGCAGCACGGGGGCAGCAGGAGGGCAGAAGCGGGGCAGCAGCAGGTCGCTCACACGGGAGTGGCACTGGCGGGGGACATGGAGTGCACACGCAGCACCTGCTCTCCACCCAACCCACCCACAGCTAAGTACCCCGCGCTTCCTCTATTCTCCCAACCCTCCCTCGCGCTGTTGCTTTTCATGTGCTGCCCTCTGTCACACACAAGAGACTTGAGCCTCGCTCTAAACCTGAGCCTCTGGTCGTGCCTCATTTTCAAGCCACAGACCTTGTTTTTTTGGTAAGCCACCCCAGGTACAGAAGGTATTCTCTCTGGTTAAGCCTCCCTTGGTATGTAGCCCCTTTGGTACTGTGGCTTGTAACTGAGGCTGCACCAGTGGCCCCCTTTCCTGCTGTCACCCCACCCCACCACAACCATGAACTTGTTACCCCTAGCCGCTTACTCACTTCCCTTCAGTTCTCTCTTTGCAGGTGGAGGGGAGGGGCGTAGGGGTCAACACCGCCATTCCCCCGCACCCCTCCCCTTGTGGCCGTGCAGGTGGATTGGGAGAGTATCGGGATGGGGTCGTCTGGAACAAGGTGAGCCTCTTTTCGCTCATGCACTCATGCTGCTGCCAGTCTTCTTCCCGTTCTCGCTCTCGTTTCTTGCCCTCTTCCTGTCTTCACGCTGCTGCCTGCCCTTCTTCCCATTCTCACTGCTCTCCCTTGCTCCCCTGCCTCCCTCCCTCTCCCTTCCCTCCCAGTACATTGAAGGCTGTAGCAGACCAGCAGCAGCAGTAGCAGCAGCAGGGGAAGCAGAGTAGCAGACCGGCAGCAGCAGTAGCAGCAGCAGAAGCGGCAGCAGCAACATCAGCAGCAGCAGCAATGGGGGCTGGGGGGCTAGAGGGCAGGCTTGGTAGATATAGCTGCAGGTGAGGTATGGTAACAGGTGTGGTATGGTAACAGGTGTGGTATGGTTACAGGTGAGGTATGGTAAGCTGATCCCCTCCTCTCTCTCTTCCCTTCCTGCAGGTTGAAGGTGGGAGCACTGGAGCAAGGACGGGAGAGTGAAGTGCAACCTCTCACTCACCTTCCCCCCTCTCCCTTCTCCCTCCCTTCCCTCCCAGCAGCACCCTGCCTGGATTTCAGAGGAGTCCTGCCCCCCCCCCGCCTCCTAATCACCCCCCCTCCTTCCCAGCAGCCTCAGCATCATGGCGCTCTGCACGGCTCAGGTAAGTACAGGTAAGAGAAGGTAAGGAGGCATGGGGGTGAAGTGTGGGGTGGGTGGGTGGGGGAGCATGGGAGCGAGCGGGAAGTTCACTGCCTTAGGGGCAGCATCTCCTGGGGTTGTGTCTTGTGGGTGGGGTGTGGTGGGTGGAATCTGTGCGGCACGGCACTCGGTGCTCAAGTAACCGATCTGACGTGCAAGGCCTAATGGACACCGTCAGAGCCGACCGGCCGGTGGCTCTGGTTCGCGTCAGCTCTGGCTACGTCAGGGGTGGGATTTGAGTCTTGGGCTGGAAGCAATTTTCCACTATCACACTTCGCCCCACAAGGCACTGCCTCTGGGGGTGTTGTTTCCTTGAGGAAGTGGGCTCTCTGCTGCTCCTACTGCTGGTAGGTGAAGGTGGGGAGGGGCTGGGGTGAGTGGGGGGGAAGGGGCGTGAAACCCCTTGCGTGGGTGAGTGGGGGCTGAAACCCCTTGGGTGGGTGAGTCAAAGGGAAGGGGAGTGAACCCCTTTGGGTGGGTGAGTCAGAGGGAACGGGAGTGAACCCCCTTGGGGCAATGGTGGGGGCCTGAATCCCCCAGGGTAAGTAGAGTGAGAGAGCGAGGAGAAAGTGGGGATGAAACCCCAGGGTGAATAGAGTGAGGGGCAACCCCGGGCTAGGAGAGAGCAAGGCAGGGGAGGAAGGCTGGACCTTCCAGGGGAAGGCAAGCGAGGGGCAGGGGGGGAGAGGGGGGCTGAAACCCTCATTTTAGGGCGAGCAAGGGGCAGGAAAACCCCCCTCTCTTGTCCCTCAATTGTCGAGGTGGGTGAGTGGGAGGAAGGGATGGGGTTTCCCCTAAGGTGGTTGAATGGGGGATGAGGACTGAATCCTCTAAGGTGGGTGAATTGGATGCAAGGATGGGGGCTGAAACCCCTGAGGTGGGTGCATGGTCGAGAGGGATGGGGGCTGAAACCCCTGAGGTGGGTGCATGGTCGAGAGGGATGGGGGCTGAAACCCCTGAGTTGGGTGAGTGAGAAGGAAAGGGTCTGAAACCCCTTGGGTGGTTCACAGAGAAAATGGAGCTGAAATTCGTTGGGTGGGTTGAGTAGAATGCGAGTCTGAGTTGGTGCGTGAGTGAGTGTAAGTATGAGTGTATGTGAGTCTGTCTGTGAGTAGGTGGATGTGTGTGGACGTGTTTGCATACGAATGTGTATGCGTGTGCTTATATGTGTGAGTGAGGGGGTCTGATTGACTGAGTGAGTGACAGTGTGCGTGTGCGTTAATGTGAGTCAGTTTGGGTGACTGACAGTTAGTGTAAGTGTGAATGATTGTGAGTGAAACGTGTGAGTGACTGAGTGTGACGAGTGAGTACATGTGAGTGAATGTGAGCAAGATGTGAGTGTGAGTGCGATTGTTGGTGACTCTGTGTGTATAAGTGTGAGCGGATGTGTACATGGCAGGTGAGAATGACGTTGAGATTGGGAGTGTGTCAGTGTTGGTCACTGTGTGTGTTGTAAGTGTGTGTGACTGTATCTAGCAGGTGAAAATGGCATTGAGATGAGATGCTCCAGATGGTTGGTTGAGTGTGTTACTGTGTACTCTCTGTGTACTCTGACTCTCTGTTGTTGCATGTCGGCATGATTGTGTCTAGAGTGCTGGGTTTCTCTGTTGCAACGGCAGGTGAAAGTAACATTGAGATGCTCCAGATGGTTGGTTTGGGTGTGGCAATGGCAAATGCCTGCCCTTCAGTCAAGGCAGTGGCAGACCATGTGTCGAGCACAAACGACCATGATGGCTTGGCAGCTGCGGCGAAAAAACTTGCCCTTACTGATGGCGTCTGGTGCTGGGAATAGGGTGTGAAGAGGAGCAGACCTTGTATGGGTGGAGTATTAAGTCTGTGCACTGGATGCAGTATGACCCGAATTCTGGGATGCCCTCACGTCGCAGCGACTTTGTTGCACGGTTTCACCCCCTTTTGTAGTGCATTGGTTATAGTGCATGCCAATTCTTGTGCAAGTGCTAACATGTGGGGACTACTATTCTGCAGCCTCCTCTTGGGGGCTGAGATTCTCATAAAGTTAATTTACACATTGAGGTTCTCCCCTTCTTGTCATGATATTCGCACCATGCGGATTGGCACCTCCACTTCTGTAAGTAGCCGTCAGTCAAAATAAATGTTAAATACCCCGTCCTTAGAGGGGTTCGTCGTGGAACTTTCAGAGCTAGAAACATATCGTTAAGTTTTCATGTACAGTAAACGTTATTATCCAGTCTAGGCTAGACGCGAATACTGGAATCGGGTGCTTCTGCGATGATTCGTAGAAATACGCTCGGATACTTCTCAAATAACTGCACTGTAGCGTGGAGGCAACTTGGCAAGCCAGGGAGAGCTCGCCCATTCAAACAAAATCGTGCATGCACCCGCTCACATTTTCCAGCAAAATCTTTCTCTACGCCAATCACAGTCTCGAAATCCACGCTGGAAGAAGTAGAATGTTACCACAAGGCCTCCACGCGCTCGACAAGGCGCACCGTCGCTGGGTCTATAAATTTACAAGATGCAACGCGATGCGGATTAGGGCTACTGATGAATCCTGCCCTTATGTCATGCTGCCCGTGTATAATCTCCATTTGAGATGGTTAAGTGAGGTATTCGGATGAATCATAGTGGAACAATCCGCATTTCTTGTATTCGTAAAGAAATAGCCCTAAGTTTTACGTAGTCCTGAGGTCCAGTCCTGAGGTTCTTCACTTCTGGGAAATCATGAAAGTACAATGGACCGCCTTTGTAAGAATAGCCCCTCCCCCGAGCCGCCTCCATGCGCGATGCGTCCCCTTCCGCAACCTGCCCCGGCGGATTTGTTCGCGGCACGTGGGCTCCACGCCACCACCACCAGTTTCGCAGGGCTGCTGCGCGCCTCTCCGCTCCGCTCGCCTCGCCATTGATGCCTCTCATCCGCCATTTCTTGTTTGCCAGAAAGCTTTCCTGATAAGCGACGGTGGAAAAAGGGCGTGCGGGAGGTTCGGACTCGACGCACCTCCGCGCATCCAGTTTCCCTACGTGGCAACTCGGGACGGGAAGGAAACAATTTGTCGCGGAGGAAAAGGGGAGAAGGAATTTCCAGAGGGAGACATGTGATGTGACACCCACAACAAAGCGCGTAGCACACCGTACAGTAACACAACTTCAAGTGCTGCCCAGACCTGAAAATAGAACACCAGGTATTGGTTCGGTTGCGCGGGATGAGGTGCGATATTGAGAACAGTGAGCGGAACGGAATTCACCCACCCTTCGTCCTAGATTTGCTGTCCGCTAGTGCTGCAGCTCTTCTGTTCCTTGGCTCGTCTCTGCGTCGCATCTCGGTCTCAGCTTTCTGCGCAAGCTTGAGGTGTCATCTGGCAGGCTGTGCCCCATTTCTGGTTTTTGATTCACCTTGACTGCCCCCGCTACCACACGCCACCGCACGATGCTCTGCGCATTCTCAGCAGCACAGCAGCGAAACTGGGCGCGCGGGACAGGAGGAGTGCAAATGCCTCCATTCGCCACGCTAAGGCTCCAAAAACAGCCGCTAATACGGTTCATACGCACACGTAGTGTGCTAGCTGCGTTAATAGACCGCACTAGACTCACTCATACTTGGCGTTGGTAAACGCACTTCTACTTTCCCCCTTTCCGACCAACAATTTCCACCATCGTCGCAATCGAGTGTCACTTCGTCGTCGCCTCACCGCCGCATAATCTCGAATCCCGTCGACTCGCTGCGCTTGATCGCAGCACACTAACGAATCCCCACCTTGCCGCGTCGCATTCGGATCTTCATATCGGTCGTCACGGTGCCGCGCCGGCCCTGCCATGTTGCTGACGCTATCAGCGTCGTCCATTCCGTCGGATCCTCTAGCTTTGCGCTCCACGCCGCGACGCCCCTACTCGCTGCCGTTTCGCGCCCTTTCGCGCGCCGCAGCCCCCGGCAAAGAGGGGGCTTCCGCGCCGTTCGTCCCCCGCGCATGCGCCATGACCGCCGCTGCGCCCATCGCAGACGATCTATGCACGCTGGACGGTGGCGCTCACCTTCCCCTCCAGGACTCCGCTGGGAAGAGCTCCGCGGGCTTGGCGGAGCGCAGAGATGATGGCGCGCAACGATCACATGCGGAATGCTCGCACGCGGAGAAGCGGAAGCTGAGCGTCAGCGCAGATGCCGAATGCCGCATTGGCGGCGATGCGGCTGCGGCGCCGTCCGAGGGAACGGAGAGCAAAGCCGACTCGAAGAGATCCGCGGAACCCGCCGCGAAGAGACCCCGCGGTGGGAGCGCCGATCACGACGAGAAACCGCCACTAGCGCAGCTTGCGGAGACGAAGAACCACGGCGGCGGCATCTCGCCGCGCCATGCTCCCGCCTCACTGCCCGCCGCCGCGCCTCTCCCTGCGCCAGCGGCTGCTGCTGCGCACCAATCCTCTGAGCTTGCGCCCCGCCTCCCCTGGGCGACCGCGCCGCCCGTTGACTTGACGGTCAACGCGATCGCCGGTAGCCCCGCTGCTGACGCGGCTACCAAGTCTGGGGACAGCGGAGGCGCTGGGTTGGAGGAAGGGGACGAGGCGGAGGAGGAAGACGGCGAGGGGGAGGGCGAGGAGGCGGTTGGCGGGGTGACCGCCGCGGATGGCGGCGCGTGCGGCAAGAAGAAGCGGTACCGTTACAAGCGGTTGTCTAAAGCGGGTTACATTCCGGACGACGGGCAGCACTGGCACAAGTACGGGCAGAAGAATCTCGTGGACGCTGGATACTGCAGGGCGTATTACCGGTGCGCGCGGCGGAGCGCGGGGTGCGCGGCGAAGAAGACGATCGACTTCCCCATCCGGTGGGGGCTGGACTGATGTAGAGGCGTGTCCTCTAGTTGGCAGGAACTAGGAATTGTTCTAAGCAGTAGAGCACACTCTTGGCTTTCCAAGGAGCCGTAGAACACGTAATTCGCCCAAGTATCGGCTGAGATACGGCTTTCAACGTGCTAGGTAGTGCTCTAAGATTGAAGGATAGAAAGTCTCTGGATTTTGTGTCGAGTTGAACTGTGTATAGAAAACTCTGATTTTCAGTATATCATGCATACAAAGCAATCACAATATATAGCTACTCAAAACATCGAGTCGCGCATGTAACATACGAGATGCATCGAGAACATTCGCGTAACAATTCGAAGGGGTGAAATTCGGCACCCGAATTTCACCGAACCGAATTCTTCCTTAGTCTCGATCCTTCTTGTGTTGCCATGTGGCACCAATTGAGTGGGTCTTCCGAAGTCAACCCACACACTTCGTGAAACCTGCAGCTCTCTCAAGCGGTGAGCACCGAAACACATTCGGTGGGTTGGGGGCATATCAATTGCCCCACCACCGTTTGCTTCTAACTCACGCGACCTCCAACACTCCCCCTTGCACCCAACCCACTAGGTGTGCAATCCAACATGCTCGTAGCATGCACGGGACGGATCTTTAGGGGGTAGTTCCATGAGAGGATCCATGTGTTCATCATCACCCATCGTTGCGAAGCAAAATGCCGCCCCCTCCTTATCCAACTTCCCAACGGCTACCGTAGCATAGTCGGCGTACTTGGAGGGAGGACGAACCTCACGACGCTCGCGGGTCAAGGCCAATGGTAGGGAGGAAGGTGTGGAGGTAGTTGCCGCCTCGGTAGGTGACACCTCCACGACATCATCAACGCTCTCCTCGTTGTTCTCTCCCCCTCCATCGGCTTCCTTCTCCACTTGAGGTGGAGTCTCACTCTCTTCAACCTCCTCTCGTGGCGGAAGGATGAAAGTGAGTTGTTGAGTGGGTTTCTCCTTCGACGGGAACTTGTCTTCATCGAAGACCACGTCCCGAGACGTGACGACACGCTTTTCACCCAAGTCCCACACTCGCCATGCACGCTCGTTTGGCGCAACTCCCAAGAAGATCGCCGCACGAGCTTTCGGTTGCAACTTGTGGCGAAGAGGATCCGGTATATGGTAGTAGCAAAGGCACCCAAAGGTGCGTAGGCGGGATAGGTTCGGCTTCGTTCCGGTCCATGCTTCGAACGGATTCATTCCCGGTAGCACCTTTGTCGGCACACGATTACGAATCCATGCCGCTAGCGCACTCGCCTCTCCCCACCACTCGTTCCCAAGCTTGGAGTGTTGAAGTAGTGAACAAACGGCTTCCACCAACGTGCGATTAAGCCGCTCCGCCGCTCCATTTTGTTGGGGTGTGTAGGGTGTTGTGACGTCGTGCTTTATGCCCTTGCTCTTCATCCATTTCTCAAGCTCCGCGTTCACGAATTCGCCCCCACCGTCGGTGCGAATACACTTGATCCGCTTCTTGTCGTCGTCGCAAACATCGAGCGCCCACTCTTGAATCGCCTTGGCCGCATCTCCCTTAGCCTTCAAGAGTCGGGTCCAACACATCCGCGTCGCGTCGTCGAGCATCACCAAGAGGAACCGCGCTCCTCCCTTTGATGCATGTCGCATCGGTCCACACACGTCCATGTGAACAAGCGCAAGCGGGTCCTTAGCGAGGGGTGACGTTCGGCTACCAAATGGCTTGCGAGCCATTTTTCCTTCGACACACGCCGCGCACACGCCCTTCTCGTCGTCGCCGGCGATCACGTCAAGTCCCTTCGCAAGTCCTTTGTTGGCCAACTCCTTGACCGAGTCGTAATTGGCGTGCGCAAGTCGATCATGCCACGCCTTAAGAGTTGCCTTGGAGCCTTGCGCCACGTTCGATGAAGCCACTCTTGGGTACGTCTTGAGTTGGTAGATATCTCCATTGAGAACCCCTTGCGCGAATTGCTCCCCCTTCCAAAAGAGGTTCATCTTCGCACCGTCGATGGTGGCGATCACGCCCTTCTTCGCCAGTTGCGGGACGGATAGAAGGTTCACCTTCACCCCCGGGACGTGAAGCACGTTCGTGACGTCCACCGGTCCGCTATCGACGATGAGGCGCGTACTCCCAACTCCAACCACTGGTAGAGATTCGTTGTTTCCGAACACGATGCTCGTGACGTCTCCCGGAGCGCCAATGTTGTTGAGGAGCGACGCCGAGTGCGTCATGTGTTGCGTTGCGCCGGTATCGAGGAACCACGCGTCGCTTGGAGTTTTGTTCCCGTTGCCGGCCACTAACACGAGCGACTCCTTTGAATCATCGGCCTCGCCGGATGCCGTGTGCGCGTTGCCCTCTTCGTCCCGCGCCTTCGATGGAGTCCAATCGCTCGGGCTCTTCCGACACTCACGCCAAAAGTGTCCCGGTTTGCGGCAATAGTGACACTTGCCGCGATGCTCGCTCCCACCCGACGATTCATTCGTCGCACCCTTGCTCCACTTGGACTTCTTTCCGGAACTCCCTCCGGAGTACATGGCGGTCCCCTCGCTCTCATTCGCGAATTGTCGGCGACGTGATTCCTCATGGAGAAGCCGACCGACCACCATTTCCTTCGTCCAAGTGCCTTGCACGCTATCGAGTGTCGTAATCACCGTCGACCACTCTTCCGGAAGGCCGCAAAGCAAGGTGAGAATCCAATCCTCCTCCGTGACCGTTCCACCGAGGTCCATGAACGATTCCCCGAGTTCCTCCACACGAGTCGCATACTCGTGCATCGATTCGCCCGCGCGCATCTTCACCGTGTAGAACGCATTCCGGGCTAGGATCTTGCCGTGGAGAGTCTTGTTCACGTGGATGGTCTCGAGCCGCTTCCACGCTTCATGCGCCGACGCTTCGAGCTTGATGCACATGCGCACCGAGCTCACGAGATTGATGCCGATGCGCGAAATCAACGTAGCGAACGCCTTTTGGTCCTTCTTCTTCCATGCCGCGATGTCGCTCTCGTCGTCCGGCTTCTTCTCCGTTCCATCGAAGAATCCCCAAAGTCCCCGCTCCATCATGAGCACTTGGAACTTAAACTTCCACGCGGAGTAATTTTGTCCCGTGAAAATCGGTACCGCCGACGTGTCGAACATCGTCGCGGTTGCCCAGGGTTCGCCGGTATTTACAACGACACCATCCAAGGAAGTGCGGGAGGCCTCGCTTGACGTCATCATGCTTGCTCCTTGTCGCGCGCGTAGACTCCTCCGACCAGCTCTGATACCACTGATGTAGAGGCGTGTCCTCTAGTTGGCAGGAACTAGGAATTGTTCTAAGCAGTAGAGCACACTCTTGGCTTTCCAAGGAGCCGTAGAACACGTAATTCGCCCAAGTATCGGCTGAGATACGGCTTTCAACGTGCTAGGTAGTGCTCTAAGATTGAAGGATAGAAAGTCTCTGGATTTTGTGTCGAGTTGAACTGTGTATAGAAAACTCTGATTTTCAGTATATCATGCATACAAAGCAATCACAATATATAGCTACTCAAAACATCGAGTCGCGCATGTAACATACGAGATGCATCGAGAACATTCGCGTAACAATTCGAAGGGGTGAAATTCGGCACCCGAATTTCACCGAACCGAATTCTTCCTTAGTCTCGATCCTTCTTGTGTTGCCATGTGGCACCAATTGAGTGGGTCTTCCGAAGTCAACCCACACACTTCGTGAAACCTGCAGCTCTCTCAAGCGGTGAGCACCGAAACACATTCGGTGGGTTGGGGGCATATCAATTGCCCCACCACCGTTTGCTTCTAACTCATGCGACCTCCAACATGGACATGCGCGTCACGTACAGCGGCCAGCACACGCACGGCCTGCCGCCCAGGCTGCAGCGCGAGGTCTTCACATACGCCACCACGCCCGCCCAGCTGCCGCCCAACATCTCCGTGCCGCCCAACGTGCTCGCTGCTGCGGCAGCCAATGCTGCTACAGCCGGCGCTGCTACAACCGGCGCTGCTACAGCTGGCGCTGCGAGCTCTTCTGCCGTGTCTGCGGATTCCAATCCCGTTAGTGGCGGCCCGTCCCCCATCTCCCCTCCGCTCACTGCTTCCCCCGCCCCACCCGCCCCTTCTCCTGCTGCTCCAGCTGCTTCTGCTCCTGCTGCTGCTACTCACCCTGCTGCCTCTGCTTCTCCTGCTCTCAACTCACCTGTTATGAGCGGCGCCGGTAACCAGGTAACTGGTAACACGGCGCACGCGTGCAGCCCTGCTCACCACGTGCAGTCGCAGCCCACCCAGACGGCCCCTCGCTTCCTCTCTCCACAGCAACCACAGCAGCAGCAGCAGCAGCAGCAGCAGCAACAGCAACAGCAACAGCAACAGCAACAGCAGCAGCAGTATTTACCGCAGCAGCAAGCAGCGCAGCAGCAACTAACACAGGGCTACCGCTTCAGCCCCACAACGCAACAACCGATGCCGCCCAGTCCGGGCCTGGCCTCCCCTAGCCCCTCCGCGTCCTCCCTCTTATCCTCCTCCCCCTCGCTCTTGACTCTGCCGCCCGCCCACCACCCCTCTCCCCGAGGAGCCCCTGCCGCGCCTGGCGGCCCCCTTCAGCAGCAGCAATGGCAGCCTGAGCAACAGAGATCGGAGCAGCAGCAGCACCACCAACAGCAGCAACAAGCGCAATGGCAGCAGCAGCAGCAGCAGCAGCAGCAACACCAGCAACAGCACACCGCTTCACCTGCACAACCCGCCCCCTTCAACCCTCCAGGAAACTTCATGCTGCCGCCACCCGCCTTTGCACCCAGCAGCCGTGGAAGCAACGCTGAGACTTCCAAGCCAGTGGCTGCATCAACCTTCCGCCCCTTGACCGCCTCCCCCTCCTTCCACCGCTACCCTCCTGCTCCTCCCGCTCCCGCTCCTGTCGTTGCTGCCATCCCGTCTGCTGCTCCTCCCGCTGCTGCACCCGCTGTGCCCATGAATTCCCAGCGCCCACCCATGCCACCCCCGCACGACGTCAACCCGCCCCATTACATGCACATGCCGCCCCAAAACATTCCAATGCCGCCCCAAAACACGCCAATGCCGTCTCAGGCATCACCCGTCCCTCCCAGCTGTACCTGCCCCGTCCACCACCCCCACCAGCACCAGCACCAACACCAGCACTACCCCCATCACCAACACCAGCCCCAGCAGTAGCAGCAGCAGCAGCAGCCCCACCCCAATCCTCCCCCCTCCGCGTTCGCCCCTCCGCCCCCACCCGCGCCCGTCTGCCCCCCTGCTTCAGTTCACGCGCCTTACGGCGGCGCTGCAGGGTGCAGTGGCGGGCCGCAGATAACGGTGCACTACCAGCCGGACACGCTGACTCAGCACGGGATGACGACTCAGCACGGGATGACGACTCAGCACGGCGTGGTGAGTCAGCAAGGAGTGGTGGTGAGTCAGCAAGCTTCAGCAGGACAGCAGTCCCTCACTCCTCCCTCTCCCCTTCTCCGCCTGCCCTCCTCACTGCAAGCACCCCCATCCACTCACACCAGCAGCCCCGCCTATTCCTTCTCCACCCCTCCCTATGCCTCCTCCTCCACCTCCTCCACCCACAATCTCTCCCTCTCCCCCCCCGTGCGCCCCTCCCCCTCACCTCCCCCTGTGCGCGGCCATCTCCCCCTCCCCTGTTCAGTCCAAGCGCCCACCCATGCTGCAGGCCTCCCCGCAGCTACAGCCGTCCCAGCAGCAGCAGGCGTCACCATCACCGCTACAACCGCCAGCGCTACAGCCGGGGCCGCTACAGCTACAGCCGTCCGCATCGCCAGTGCAGCAATGCACGGCTTCCCCTCACCTGCAGCAGGGCGCACAGCCCGCGTGGTCTGCTGTGCCGCCTGCTGGGGTGGTGTGCTCGCCTGGGCAGCCATGCACGATGCACCCGCCTGCTGCTCCGTGCCTGCAGCACACTGCTGCGCCCTGCTGCCCACATGCCTCCCTGCCCTGCCAGCAGCAGCAGCAGCAGCACCAGTGGCAGTACCAACAACAGCAGCAGCAGCAGCAGCAGCAGCAGCAGCAGCAGCAGCAACAGCAGCCGCAGCAGCAGCAGCAGCAGCAGCAGTAGCAGCAGCAGCAGCAGCCGCAGCAGCAACAGCAGCAGCAGCCGCAGCAGCATCAGCAGCAGCAGTGGCAGCAGCAGCAACAGCAACAGCAGTGGCAGCAACAACAACAGCAGCAACAATGGCAGCAACAGCAGCAGCAGCAGCAACAGCAAGTGTGTTCGCATGCTGTTGCTGCTGCTACTGCTCCCGTCCCTCCTGTTATCTCCACATTTCACACAACGACCATGGTACCCGCTTCGCATGCGGTCACCACAACACACGGCACCGGAGCAGCAGCTAACCCCCACACGCATCACTTCTCTACCCTCAATGCTGCTGGTGGGGCCAGTCAAGAGGGGACAGCAGCACAAGCAGTGGCGCAAGCGGCCCCTCAGGCTCAGCAAGGGGAGGGAATGATGCTGCTGGGGAAGTTTATTCCATCGCCCTCCCCGTCCCCGTCCCCTTCGCCTGGCGACTCGCCCCGCAGACGCCTGAAAAGGGAGGAGTCATTTCAAGTGGGTAGGGATGAGCAGCAGGGGCGTGTGGCGAGGGCAAGGGGGGGTACAAGGGGGAGCGGGGGCGTGGTGCAGCGGCTGACAGCGCAGTTTGATGCACACTGTGCGGCAGAGGGGGCTGCTGATGGCGCTGCAGGTCCCACGCAGCGTGTGGGAGCATCCAAGAACCAGAGCCGCAAGGAGGTCAACTTGAACCTCTCCCTCTAGACACCCTGTTGGTGGGAGATTTGTTACATTCTGGTGCTATGCTTTGTCTAGGGACTAGCTTTAGTGAACCTACAGTATGGTGCAGCCTAAAATGATTAGATAATCCAATGTTCCCACAAGCATTCTGCATTGAGCTGGTGCATTCCTTATTGAGCGTGTTCCTACGAGCCTCTTGTCAGACACACATCTTGTCAGACACACCTCTTGTCAGACACACCTCTTGTCAGACACACCTCTTGTCAGACTTGTGTGGTTCAATGAGATTTACGGTAGTGAGATTAGCGATTTCGTGTTGCAGGACGGTGCGACGCGAGTCTGACAAGAGGTTTCCACGTAAGAGGCTGTAGGAACACACCCTAAGGAATGAGAGTGAAAGCGATCATAAACCTTCACAACAATGTGTACAAATAGCAATGCTGGTAAGCCTACTTGGTGCACTAAAAAACCCACACCCCCTCCTTGGCCCCTCCCACGCTGCCCCCACTGCTCGCTGCCTCATCCTCTTCTGCACCTCCGGCACCTCCAGCACGGACCCAACTGTTTCCCCTGTGCACTCTGACACGCACCCCTCCTTGGCCCTTGTCTCACTGCCCCCCCCTGCTCTCTGCCTCCTCCTCCTCGTCACCACTGCCCTCCCCACTGCTACCACTGCCACCGCTCCCGCTGCCTTCCATCTCAGGCTGCACCTCCGGCGCCTCCAGCATGGACCCCGGTGTTTCCCCCGTGCACTCCGATGCACGCCCCTCCTCGCCCGCCCCCGCGCATGCCTGCAGCTGCCGCACCCACAGGGGGAAGTCCACACTCACCGCAATCGCCGCCGCTGCTGCTGTTGCTGCCGCTGCTGAGTCCGGCGCTGCAGCGTCAGCTGAGGCTGCCGCTGCTGCTGCCGCGCCTGAAGCAACGGGATGTCCGGTCTGCCGAGCCTGCACAGGCTCGGCCAGCCGTGGGTTGATTCGGCATGGCAGAGGGGGTCGGGAACGGTGGGGAGCGTCTGAAAAGAGGAGAGGGAAAGCGAGAGCGGCGTTGGGTGCGCTAGGGAGTGCGCGGGGGAGTGCAGGCGGCGCAATGCCATGGCGCGACTGCGCGGGAGGAGCGACAGGAGCAGCAGCGGTTGGCGGAGCAGCGGGTCCTCCCAGGCGGCTGGGAAGGCCATGGCAACGCCGCACGTGGGCGCGGCCGGCAGCGCCGTCCGCTGCAGTCTGCGCCTCGTTCGCCTTCCGCTTCTCCCCCGCTCGCTCCGTCTCGTCCGGATCCGAACAGGGCGACGAGATTGGATGCGCTGCCTCCCCGCGCTCCGCCAACCCCGACAGCTCTTCCGCCTTTTCCGCCGCGCACTGCGTCGACTCCACCTCGTACTCTCCGCACCGTCCGCCGCCCCCATTCCTTCTGCCGTTTCTTCCCGACGAGCTTCCGCCTCTGCGCACCGTCGCAACGCTGGACCCCAGCTCCAGCGCGTGATGCGGCGCCGCACCGTTTGCGTCTACCCCGGTAGCCGCGCCCACATGACCACCAACGGCTAGTTGCGCCGCGTCGTGCGCTGCGGGTGTTGTTGCGACATCAGCAGCCGCGCGCGCATTTTCCGCCTCCCTGGCGGCATCCGCCGCGTGCCCCTCGGAGTTGGTGTGCTCGCTCGATTGGTCGGCGCTTCCGCTCGCACTCGAGGCGCCTCGCATTGTCGGCAGGCGGTGCCTCAAGCCTCCTTGACGGACGATAAATCTTCTCTTCTTCTGCCCGCGGGCAGCCGCGAAACCAGGGCTGTCCAGCATCTGACGCATCCCGCTCAAAATGCCCAGCCGCTGCTTCCGCCGCCTCTCCTCCGCCGCTTCCGCCTCTAACTTCCCCCAATCTTGCGCTTCGCCAGTCCCCCCAGCTTCCCCGTGCGCCGCTTCCTCGCATTCCCGCGCGTCCATCCGCCGGCGCTTGACTGCGCGGAGGCGCTCCTGCCACGTCCAGGGCCACGCGGAAGGTTCCTCTACCGGAGGCGGAAGGGCGGTCGCATCCCCCGCAACTAGAACAAGCTGCAGCTGCGACGCGGGCAACCCCGACTCGAGCGGGCTCACCCTTGCACCTCCCCGGTCCGCGCATGCCTCGACCCCTCCCCCGGAAGACGGGGTTTCCGCGAGCGGTTCACGGGAAGCGATGCCCTCTCCCCTTGAGCACCGTAGCGGTTGGAAAGGACCGAAGGGAAACATTGGAGTGCCAGGCTCGGGCCGAACCAGCGGCGATGGCTGGGACGCGCCAGCTACGCGAGACTCTGCGAGAGAGGCGAGCGGGAGATGCGGCGGGGCAGGCGGGAGAGAGAGCGGCGACGACGCGTCGTGGGGCCGCTGTGAAGATCCTGGTGTGAAACGAAGGTCGGCGGCCCGGCAGGTATTCGAAACGCAAGGGAGGGGAAGGGGAAGGGGAAGGTCTGTACTACGCGGATTTGGTGCGGTTGGAACGGCGATGGCGGGCCGCGTGGGTCCTAACTGAAGGACCTTCCAGGTATCGCTAAAGCTCTTAGATTTGGTGCGATTCCGCGACAGGTTTATCCACGCCATGGATTCGCTCTTGGCTCGCCTTTGACTACAGAGCTCGCAGATAATACGAGGGTATGTCGAGGAAGAAATCGGGGATTGGTGTACGTGAAGGCCAAGAAACGAGCCCTAACTCTACAACACACGATGTGAAAAATGATGAGGAAGTTCTCTTTCGCACAGCTGTGGTTGTACGAGCGCTAAGTGAAGTGATCGAGTGTCAACTGGTTGCTGTTCCTTTCCACACCCCACTTCTGATCGAGTCTAATTTTTAGATTCTGGAATGCTTGTGCAGCAGCTGAAGGACCACCCACCCACCCACCCCCCAAAGCAGAACAGCGTGCAGCAGAGCAGATTGACAGACTGTGCTCACAACAACCTCCATTGCCAGAAGGAACACGAGTGTATCTTGCAGGGTTACTCTCTCCACTCCACTGGAAAAACGATTTGATCAGTTGCACTGTGCTACACTCAATTGAGGCGGAGTAACTCTCGGAATCTGCGTGAAGGTGTTGGAGCACCTTTAAAGGGTGTTCAAAGTACTGCACCAGCTCGACGTCGATGGACGTTGGTGAATTTTGACCGTTGGATCAAAACTTCCAACCGTCAGGATTCACCGAAGTCCCTCGACGTCGAGTTTTTGCAGCACTTTGTACACGCCAATAGTCGCGGAAACTGTGCTGCACTTGAAGTTGTTGAACCGCAATGACAAAAAGTTAGAGGATCTATTCATTCTACAAATGTTTTTGTTTATAGTCCGACGGATCAACATCGCCGCGCGGACTATGTGCGAAAGCCTTCAAACCCCAGGCAAAACGCGATACTTATAGTCCCGTTCAAGAAAATTGCATGAAGAGTGGTTGTTTTGCTACTAGTTTCTGGATTTTGGCATTTACGTAGATTTGGACCGCGCTTGCTTCAACTTCCAGTCGCACGGTTTTCCACGCTGATCAATGTCGTATGACTAACGGTCAAAAAAAAGAAAATTAACTATGGTTTAAGTTCGTATAGTAATCCAAAGACTTCTTTTTTACCCTGTAAGCGAGATAAATGAGATGTCATCGTCGATCGCGCTGGAGACAGCGCGACAGGATTGAGAATTAGTCGCGGTCAAGAGAAACAATTCCTTACAATTTAAAAGTTAAAATATCGAATCGATGATCCCTTCTTCATCGTTCTCCTTGAATGTTGGGCTGGTTGATCTGGAGCCTCTGATTGGCTACGGAGCTGATTCGTGCAATGATTCGGTCACGCTGCAAAATTTCCCGCCAAAAAAGGACTATAGGGGTCGGGCCAACCCTAGGCGATATCGGAAAATTCTACTCAGGGGGGAAATGGGACTCTCTCAGAGAAAGCCTCTAACCCGGAACAGTTGTATTCACAGCTTCGCTCATTGTTGTAGTGTCCATTGTCTCGGGAAACCACGCTCTCTGCCCAACTCTGAATAAAATGGTTTCCATTGCTGCCCTTCGAATCACATGCTCCTCACGCGATTCTGCAATGCACATTGTTCAGGTGCGACGACGACTCTCACCACGATTTGCTGAATGCGTGGATAGATTGGAAGCCGTTGTGACAACCATTAGCATCATGATTGGACAATCAACTGCTGTGAGAGCTGGCTACGTGTCGCCAAGTGTGAGGACGACAAACACGAGTTTGCGATCTTACTCAAGGCACGCCTGGTCGATCACATGACGCTCAGTGTGCCAGCGAAGCAAGGCTGGATCCGACGGCTGTGTTTGTTGTGATTTTAAAACCAGAAGCGCAATCTGTGGTTGCCCAGCCCAGTGGGAAAAATATCAGAAGCACGGCTTCTAGATGGCGAGTCCGGTACACTCGTTGCGAGAGAGACGAGGAACGATCATGTGGACTCGTAACATCCTACGCGTGAAAGTTGTGTTGTACTGTCTGGTCGTCAAGGTGTAAATCTCGGATCAATCATTCTGGGACCTGAGCAATTGTTCTTTGTAGAACATAATGTGGCAATATAGAGAAGTGGGAACAGCTTCAGTTTTATATCTTTACAAGCATCTCTACATCATGCATAACTACAGTTTCAGGTCCAGGTCCAGGTTGGAAGCCTTAATTGTGTTATTTTTATCTGTAGAAGAATCCACGTGTGCAGATCCTTTATAAGTGGAATTGGCAGCAACCCCAGCAACCAGAGGAGTAGCCCCTCTTATTGATCCCTCTGGAACTCCCGTCCCAGGCGGCCCCCACTCCACACGAATCCTCTTGGCTTCCTGCTTACTTACATCTGTTATCATGTTCCAGTCCCTACCAGACGATGCCAAGTGGCTTGCTGACTCATCGACATCACGTCCTCCATGGTATTCTGTGCTTTCGCCAGGAGCAGATGGCCCATGGTGCAGTAGAGGCTTAGAGGTGGACAACTGAGGATAACTTGCAGAGCGAAAATTGAAGGGGGTATGGGAGTTAGCAACAGGATCAGCTGAGCCTGGTGGTGGCTGTGCCTGGAACTGATGGACTGGTGGTGCTTGTTGCTGAGCTTGCAGCTGTGCCTGTAATTGCATCTGTGCTTGTACTTGCATCTGTGCCTGCACCTGTGCTGCCTGGAGTTGAGGGGAAGGATAGGAGAACGCACTCCCACTGACAGCTGGTACATGGCTGCGGTGCAAGGGGTTGAAGAGCGGTGCTGGTGGGTGCATGGAGGGCATTCCTACCATCCCAGAGGGCAAGTGGTGGCCAAGAGGGGAAAGAGGAACTGCAGAAGCAGCAGAGGGGAGCGAGGGGTGGGAGTGATGGCCCCATGCGTGAGCCATGGAGGCGAGATGGGTGGCAGTGGCAGCGTGTGTCTGCATGGGCATGGGTAGTGCAGGCAGAGGCAGATGATGGAAACTACTGCTGGTGGTGGTGGCGCCAGGAGGGATGGTGCCAGGGACGCTGGTGCCAGGAGGAGGCAACATGGCCCACGGGTTTCCAGGGCCTGTGGATGGGAGCGCAAAGGCTGGACCAGAAGAAGCGGCACTGGCAGCGGCAGCAAACGCTGCCGATATAGAGGGGTGACTCCCAGCAACAGCAGAAGCAGCAGCGGAGGGATGAGGGAGCAATGCACCAGCCATGGCTCTTTCTTCTCCATGATGTCCCACCCCATTGCCCCCTCTCTGTGCCGCGTCGCCTTTCTCCTCAGGCTGCGCCTCCACCGAGTGTGACCTGGCAGATGTAGGAGGCGAGCACGCAAGGCGGGTTTCAGCACGCATGGACCCCACCTCCATGGACCCCCGTGTGCCCGCAGGGCTCTGCTTCGACTGCTCCGTCATCGGCTCGTCCGTGCAGCTGCCCGAGTCCCCTGCTTCCGCCGCAGCCGCCGCCGCTGCTTCCGCAGTACTGGGTCTCTGGGTGTCTGCTGGTGTGGCTGCAGGTAGATCGTGCGCCGTGGTGGGTGTGGCGAGGGTGAGTGCGAGGGCGGGGTGGGCAGCAGCGGAGGCGGGTGAGAGTGGCACGCGGTCGACGGAGACAGTGGAGTTGAGACTCAGGCGGTGGGTCAGGCCGAGTGGGGCCACAGCAGAAGCCGCATCAGCCGCACCCGTGCCACTGCCAACAGCCACCTCCGCTGATTCTGCCACAGCCGGTCTTCTCTGGTGATCCGCCCGGCTCACAGGGACCACCGCAGCAGCACCGTCGGCCCCCTCTGCCCCGGGCGAAGCAGATACAGGCACCTGCATGTCTCCCTCCGCCGCTGCAGCTGAGGCAGCAGAGGCGACGCAGTTGGGGAGGCTGAGAGAGCAGGGGCCGGGCTGGCTGTGGTTGTGAGTCCCATGGTACGACACCTGGGGCTGCAGTGCTGCTGCACTGGAGGCGGGGGTGGCGTCACTGGGCTCGGCGATGCTCCCATCGGCTGTAGCGAGCGACGCTGCAGCTGCTGAGACGGACGGAGCGGAGGCTGTAGCGGCTGGGGTTGTAGCAATGGGGACGTCTACGGTCTTGCGTGCCATGCATCCCATGCTGTGCCGCGCGCACCGGAAGTACGCCCTGAGGATGGGGGTGCAAGGGGGGAGCAGTCAAGCAATGGCTGTGAGCGTTGACATGCCTTGCTGTGAGCAGCGATGGTGTGTCGGAGGTGACAATGAGGGATAGCGACGGTGAGGGATGGCGACGGTCAATTCTTGAAAAGGTGCGCGTTGAGGAGAACGAGGGTGGCGGCGACGGTGATACTGACTGACAACACACGGAGGCGACAATGGAGGCGGTGATGGATAGAGGCACGTGCGACAAGCAGTTGCAGCGGCGACAGTGTCGATCACTACGCTTGGAGCGGTGACATGAGCGAATGGTAGCCACACCAGGGATGGGCTTTACCCGGTTATGGCTGCATGTGGGGAAGGCTGTACCTGGTGATGGCGCGGTCCATGACGCTCTTCTGCCCGTACTTGTGCCAGAAGTACCCGTCCGCCGCCACCACCGACCGGCTCCCCGCGTGCGCCACGGGCTTCCGCTTCCTGCGGGGACGGACGGGCGGGTATCTTAATGAGACGGGGAACGTGCGGCGGAATTGCGGGGAATGTGCGACGACAGGGAGTTGCAGGTCGTGCGACGAGGGAGCGGAGTAAAAAGCGATCGGAAAGTTTGACACACGGAACTCGGAGAGAGACTCGCGAATTAAGGCCACATGGCTGACCATAACCGCCAGCTGACACTGATTAACGGTCAGACGTCGAACACAAGCGACGTTTACTTACTTCGACGCTCCCCGCGCCGACGTGTTGTTCGGAGCACCGCTCCCCCCGCCGTCTCCTCCTTCAGCCACGCCGCATTGGCCGGAGTGCAATGCGGCGGTCTCCGCGGATGCGCCGGCAATTGTTCCCGACGGCGCAGCGTCGCTCAAGGGGTGATGATTCTGTCCCACCGCCAACGGCGCGGCAGGCTTGGCGAAGAGAGACGGAGCCGCGTCGCCACGGTCGGATTCGAACCGCGAAGCGCCCGGGAGCAGCGTACGCGATAGTAGATGCCTCGACAGGAGAGACTCTTGGCCTTTGCTGTGGTTGCTGCGTTCGTGCCATGAACGCGGGTCGGTCGTCGGGCTCTGGCCGAACAGCTGCGAGCTCCCCTGAGCCGACGACCCCGCATTGCTCCCGACGGGCTTCTCGTGCCCACCGATGTGATTGTAGTGAGCGTGACTAAAGCGATCGCTATGTGTCGTTGCGGTGTACGGAACACTTTCTCTCGGCGAGCCGCTGAACACGTCCATCGTGGAGCTTCCAGCGCGCGTCAGCGCGGACGACCACGTGGCAGGAACGTGGATTGCGGCGGAAGCGCCGCGATCCGAGGCGGATCTCCGAAGCGCGTCGCCGTGAGCAATGTCGCCGCCAGGGGCGGTGAAAGCGCCAGCGCCGGAGCCGGAGAGCGACGCGAACATCAGCGACGAGGGGCCCGGACCCCACGAGGGCGACGCGAAGGACGGGATAAAATTGAGGCTGGACGGCGTATTCTCCGCATTTGACGGAGGGAGCGCGAAAGCTGGTCGGTTATCGGGCTTATTAAGCCCTTGATCAGCGTGTGGATACATTACGATCCGCGTAAACGTAGAAAGTAATTATCAACTAGGTAGACGAACTATACAAGGCTATCTGTCGTTAAGACCACCGTCTTATGACAATGTACGGCAATCGCGGCGCAAAAAGGGCGATGAAAGCGCGTGTTCACAGTATTCGAAGAAGATCTGTTGCTAAGAAAAACGTGTTGTTGGAGGTACGGTACTACGCCACTACGTTCGGAACGTCTCATAAGCAGAAGCACCCATCCTTGCAATTGGAAAAAGGAGCGGAATAGCACGACCGGGTCAAGATGGACTCCTCTCCCCAATGATCGGTCGGTCAAAAACGATGCACATTCATGTGCCTCATCGCCTCGACCACGCTAAAACATCCTGTTGTCGCCTCGCCATCGCTGCCGTCGGTCGGATGGGAGTGCTGCTGAGTTCACTCACCGCCGCACCATCACCGCCCCGTGCCCAACACCTCCCCAGCTGACAATGGGGGGGTCGAATCGAAGCCTCACTGACTTGGCTGGATGGCTTGTGCTCACCCTTTATGACCTCCACCGCACAAACTGACCAGAAAATTTGCAGTAATAAGCTCGAATGCGGCGGCAGCTGTCTGGCGCATGGGGGATTTTCAAACCTCGCCTCTGGTGGGGTGATGCCCACAGCGCTGCAAATATTTGTTGTGCGAAGAAAAATGTTGAATTCCTTCTTCCTTCGACTTTGGTCGCCCATCCGCGGCTCCAGCACGAATTCTCGTAAACGAAGAAGCCTGTCTGGATCTGACTTGCAAACGTTCCTCGTGTGGGCGCATGGACAAGACACCATCCGAAGCTTGGACGCCTAAGAGGGTACCCCCTGTATCCATGCAATGGGGGCTAAACTTTTGGTCTGCTCCAGCTTTTTAAGGTGCTTCGTTTCAGACGAACCATACTTGTTTCAGGTACAAATCATTTCTTTCCACATCTGGTTACCCTGAAGGTGGATTTGTGAGTGAAGTTCGTGAGGAGATTTGAAAAACTTGTCCGGGTCAGTTTAAGCAGTACAGTACAAAGCTGTCCAAACTTCGGATGGTGCCCAGGCCAGCCCAGACCCCAGAACGCCTAGACAGTCAAACCACCCAGTCAACACAGGTAAAGCGAATTTCCACTAGGCAGTTGTGGGCACAACGGATTGGTGCGGTGCGGTCTCCTAAAACAAATTCTTTAACGTAACAGAAAGGGTTTCGAGGGAAATGTAGTTTGTCACCGCCTTTCCCACCAGCATTGTGCCACCGCGTCGGTGTGCAGCAACTTGACGAACAAAAAAGATTTGTGGATGGTTTCCCCGAGTCAGGAGTCTTGGCTCGAAGCTGGGTGGCAAAGCCTATGCATAGTCCGTGGGAGGATTGCTCCACCATACCCAATTGAACAGAAACAAGACACTCACCCAAACCCGCACGACACAGCACGTCAGTATGTCCAGCGTCTTTGCTATACAGAATTACTGGAGTAATTGTTATGTCGAAGCGATTCGTTTTCATCGCTTAAAATGGAATACTGGGAAGCCGAGCCTCTGGAAAACCTTAATTCCCCAGTCCATTTTGATTTCACGCACAAGAGTAATTTCACATTTAAACATTTGTCACCCAGCCACAACTATTGAGAATAGAGAAACAATCGTGTAGACAAGCTCGAGACAAAACCTTTGGATCCTTAAAAACAGTGGCCGCGGATATGATATTTACGGGCGGGGTTCACCAAAGGCCATCGAGAAATCCGTTTCTTCACCAAGATTACGCCAAGCTGCGCTGGCCGTTATGTTGTTGCATGAGCTGTCGTACAGCGGTGGTACGAATGAATTAAGGGTAAATGGACAAAGTGTGCATGCCCTGTGGGGCAACACTTGAAATGCCCACGAAAGCAAATGCCCTACCAGTTGAAACCCCAAGCCAGAAAATAAGTTGTCAAATCTTTTCATTATATAGAAACCCAAATGTCTCCTATGTCCGCACATAGTGTGCACACTTTTGGCCCTACTGCCGCTTCTGCATGCCAGCTACATCAATTTTGCAACCACATGATTTTCTTCTTGGGAATGTTTGGTTTCTCAAATAAAATGGCCCAATCACGAGCTTTGTGTTCCCTTCTCGTTTGTCATGAAAGCTGGCAGATACTGTTATATCACCAGACCACGCAGGCTAGCACCACAACCATACGTTTGATTGTTCACAAATTAAGCACTTGAGATGCAATGCAACTGTATCACATACTCACTATCAAGCATCTCAGGTATCTACTTGCTCATACCAGAGCATCAATGAGCGAGGCCCGCATTTCATGCACCACACTAAGAGCCACGCTGTCTCTCTGCTTGAACACCCAGCCAATCACAGACAGCTCTGTGGCAGTCGTTTCAAACCATGCAGATGCCGCCCAGTCATTCGCAACAGGCCCTGTACTCACCACCACGCTGCCGCGGTTCACTGTGCCGGCCAGCAGGGGCACATGTAGAAACAACGAGAGCTCGTACGGATCCTCCACTGATGCTTGCAAGTGCACCTGGAGGCATGGTCGGTGGGCACACACATGGGGGCTGTAATGAGCAGAGAGCAATGATGCCGAACGCGTGCCACTCCAGCAATGCAGTAGCAAGTTAGCACAGGAAGGAGTGAGACCAGAGATGGTCAAAGGGGGGAAGGACGGGGGGGAGGGGGAGGGGGGAGGGAGGGGTGTGTGCGAGCGTCATGAAGCAAAGTGCTAAAAACGGCTGTGCACTGCAGCGGTTGGCATGAAGAAGCAGGTTGGGAGTGCGAGTGGCAAGGCCACCGCGGTTGGTGAAGATGCAGAAGCTGCTGACAAGGATGCTGCCGACGATGGTACGAAAAACTAAAGTGCTAGCAGCAGTAAGAGACTAACACATGTGCAGTGCATGGGGGATAAGGCAAGAATCCTATCAGTTCCTCTGTCTCCTGGTGGGGCGAGGAGAGCAGCATGAGGCAGAGAAAGACAGAGAGGTTTGAGGAACTGCAGTGCGAGTAACGGCAAGAGAGTAACACATGTGCAGTGCATGGGGGATAAGGCAAGAATCGTGGGTTTAGCAGGATGTAAGAGGGATATCAGAAGGCGAGGCGAGTGGGTGCTCAGGGAATACAAGCCAGAGTGAAAGGCTCATGCCTCACAACGTGAGATCACCCACTGAATGATGCTCATCACTGCACCCACGCCTGCCCCGCAAATCATATGCACTTCGTTTATTGCGGCATGTGCCGCAGAAGTATGCGATACACGCGCACAGGGACGTGCACAGGAAACGTGTCAAGCGAATTCACTGATAACTTCTGAGGGCATAAGAGAGGGCTAAGAAAGCAAGCGGAAAGGATGCTCAGGGAATACAAGCCAGAGTGAAGGGCTCATGTCTCACAGGTGAGTGAGATCACCCACTGAACGATGCTCATCACTGCACCCATGCCTGCCTTGCCAATCGCGCACGCTGGGCATGCCGCAGCATGAGCACGAGGTAAGTGATGCACGCGCACAGGCATGCGCACACGAAGGCGCGACAGGCCAATTCACAGATACATTTCAGGACACAACATAGGTTCAGAGGGCGAGGGGAGTGGGTGCTCAGGGAATACAAGCCAGAGTGAAGGGCTCACGTCTCACCGGTGAGTGAGATCACCCACTGAGACATTATCATCACTGCACCCACGCCTGTCCCGCAGATCACGTGCAGCTGTGATTGTTGCAGCAAATAAATGCATCCGCAATGCACGGAGCCAGCACCACAGTAGCCCAGTTGCTATGTAAAGCGACTCAAGGGAGGCTCACTCGCTGTATCAACGAGTGGGCCGCTCACTCTATCGAGGTCCGCACGGATGAGCGCCACGTGGTCGTTGTAACCACGCGGTTTCCACTCGCTCCTCCACGTGGCTGACAGCCGCTCGTCCATTCGCGGCACCTCCAACGACTCGGGACGCGCGTTGCGCATTGCAGCAGCTCTGGTGGGGGGAAGGGGGGAAAGATGGAAGGTGTGTACCCGGGACTAAGACGCGGAGGGGAAGGAGGTGGGACGACGGGGTTTCGGGGGAGAAAAACGGGAATGCAGGGGACGGAGCTGGGAAAACCGGAGGGGGGGAGGAAGGAGGTGAGGACCAGAGAAGTGGCGCGCGAGCAGGAGTAAGGGAGGGAAGGCACGAGATGGCGCATGCAAAATGATTTCACGTGCGAGAGCGGAGAAAACGGGGTGAGAGTGAGCGGGGAGAGAGGAGTCACTAGGACATGGAGGAAACGGGGTCTGCGCACTTATATCTGAACCGAATCCACTGAAAATGGCTGGAGACTTGAAGAATCAACTGAAGAACCCTCGACCCTGATCTCGCACAAAATGAAGGGGTTGGCGAAGGCACGCGAAATTAATGGACCCTTTGCGAACGCCGCTCCACGCGTAAGCCCGAGGACTGATGGTAAAACCCAGGGACAGAGATTAATAAAAATATTAGCTAATGACGACTGTGTACAGAAAACTAATGTTCCAGCTATGTAAACAAGCCATATGGAGTCAACCGATGTGAAAATTTCTCCACAATGTTCCATGCAGGCTGCAATAATCAAATCTACCCAGAAAGAAGAATCTTTCCCTGACGATTCTCTGCCAGCTGGTTCTTGAGAGCAGTGGCAAACTCAGAGAGGTCCATCTTGTCACCCGTGAAGGGGGTGACAGTGCCGTTGGCAATGAGATCAAACGCCTCCTTCACCACCGCCTGCCGCCTCTCATGGCTCAGCACCTTCAAGTAGGGCCCCACCCAGAAGCCCTTGAGCGTCACATCCCTGCGTTGCGATGCAGGGCACAGGGACAAACGCACAGAAGGGGCTTGTGATACGATATGAGGCAAGCTTAGCACTGGTACAGATCAGCGTGAATTTTCTCACATGGGGGTAAAAGAGCGTAAAAACAGTAAAAAAATCTGGCCAATGAAGGCGACCAGCAAGTGACTTGAGAGTTGAAATATACATTTCACCGACCTGAAGATGAAGTCCCCAATGGAGGCGGAGAAGGTGGCTCCCGAGGCGCCACCAAAGAGCAGCACGGTGCCGCCCGGGCGCACGGAGGAGAGCACTGCGCCCGTGAGGTCGCCCGCCACGCTCTCCACCGCTGCATGCGCCATTCGCCCACCCGTTATGGCCCGCACCCTGTCTGGTACACTCTCGTCTGTAGAGCAGATCACCTGCATGTGTGTGTGGGGATGGGGGGGGTGGGGATGCTCTGAGTCGACTCAAAGGTCGCCCGCCACGCTCTCCACCGCTGCATGCGCCATTCGCCCCCCCGTTATGGCGCGCACCCTCTCTGGTACACTCTCGTCTGTAGAGCATATCACCTGCACACGTGTGTGGGGATGGGGATGTGAGTGGGGATGGGAACGTGGATGGGGGTGGGGTTGGGAATGAGCGAGAGCATTCAAGGCAAGAGGCAAGTGGAGACCCATGCTGCTGATGCTCCATGAGCCTCACCTCTTTCCCCCGTTGCAGCTCCTCCCATCACTGCAGATTCACACCACTCTACCTCCCTTCCTCCCTCCTCACCATGTTTCCGCCTCCCCCGCTCTGTCTCCATTTCCCCATCCCCCCAAGCTCTCCTCCCTCCTCGGCGCACCTCATCGCCGCCCAGCGCTTTGAGCTCGACAGCCTGGGCGGTCCCCCCCCTCTCCCCCCTTCTGTCTCTCTTTCCCCTTCTGTCTCTCTTTCCCCTTCTGTCTCTCTTTCCCCCTTTCCTCCCCAGCCCCCACCCCTCCTAGGCGCACCTCATCGCCGCCCAGCGCCTTGAGCTCAGCGGCCTGGGCGGCTCGGCGCACGACGTTGATCGTCCTGATGCCACGCGCGCGCGCCACCTGGATCAGCATGCGGCCCAGCGTCGACCCCGCCTGCGTCTGCACCAGATACTCGCCTGGGGCACGGGGAGTGGGGGGGATCCGGGGACGGGGAAGGACAGCGAGGGGGATATGTGCGAGTGAGCGTGGAGGGCAGAGGAGTGGACCTGGATCAGCATGCGCCACAGCTTGCATCCCGTCCCGCCTGTGCACCAGATAGTCACCGGGGGAGGGGAAGGCGGACAATGGAGGGAAATGAGGGTGTGGAAGGGATTGGGAACGGGAGGGACACGGAGTGTGCAGGGGGGACGATTTGAGAGGGGGGAGGCACTGGCAGTGGAAGAGAAGAGGATGGGTGTGGGTGCTGTGTGCGTGTGCACAGCACATCTAGGCTTGTGGAGGGACATAGAAATGTGTGGGAAACAGAGAGGAGGGGGACGCGGGGGTAAGGGACAGGGCGCATGAAGGTGCATCATTCAGGCCCCCGTCATCTCCCCCCCCAATCAGTCCGCCCCCATCATTCCGCCCCCATCACTCTGCCCCCATCCCTCCGCCCGCATCACTCCGCCCGCCATCACTCCACCTGGAACGAGTCCGCGTCTCACCCTTGGGAACATCCAGCTGGTTCAGCATGCCCAGCACCGTCAGCGGATTCACCGCCAATTGCGCCGCGTCCTCGTCGCGCACTCCCTCGGGCACCGCTGCCACATGCGCCGCGTCCACCGCCACGTACTCCTGCCACGCGCCGCTGCCCGCCTCCAGCGCGCCCAGTGCCAGCAGCGGCACCACGCGCCGCCCCACCGCCAGATCCGGCGCCGATTGCGCTGCCGCTTCGCCCAGCGCCGCCACGACTCCCATGCCCTCCAGGCCGAGAGCCGCGGGGAGCGCGTTTGCCGGCGCGAATCCCGGGTAGTAGCCCATGGCGCAGAAGCCGTCCGCGGGATTCACGGGCCGAAGCTGCATTCGAACGAGAACCTGGTTCGGGCCGAGGCTAGGGACGGGCTTGTCTGTTACGAGCCGCAAGTTGTCCGCGAGGCGTGTCGGCCCCTCGTATGCGAGCACTGTAGCTGCGCGCTGTGTCGCTGGGATCTCGGCGGTGGATGACGTGGCCATTGCGCGACAGGGCAGGCGCGAGGGGCAGGGAGACGGCGGCGTGACGTGCAATGTGGTGTGCGGGAAAAGCGGCGCGAGTACGGAGAGCGAGAAGGGGCGGTGACGCAAACTGGTGAGGAGGTGAGGAGAGTTGGGTCGCGGAGTAGGAAAGGAGATGGAAGCGAGGGAGGGAAGGGAGGCGAGGCGGGCGGGTGCTCTGGAAAGCATGACAGGGCAGCAGGTGGGCGGGGGACGCAAGCACACCCAGCGCGCAGCGCAGATCTGGAGAGAAATTTGCACGCGGAAATTTGCACGCGAATTTTGTTTTCCGAATTCCAACACAGTTTTCTGCGACGCACACGCGGACGCGTGGCCGTGAGCTGGCACGCACAGCAGATACATTGTTCGAAGCTCGGTACGCAATCAAGCGCTTGTGCGAACTCGGTAGCATTTACATTCTACAATAACCTTATCATGAAATAAAAGCACAACTAATATGCGGAACTTGCACTAGAGCAACATGCTTCAAAAGTCACAGCTTCCAACCATACGCGCTGCTCTATTGCGCGGCCGATGGGGCGGAGAGCGCGTCAGCGGAAACCCACGTGTGGGTCTTGGTGGGAATGATACCCTGCCGGCAGTAAAACACACACGCCGGCTGCTTCACCTGCGCCCGCGCCTCATCGCTGCAGGCGGGCGGCCAATCGGTGGGCAGAGCGGGCGGCTGGGTGGCGCCAGTGGTGCTGGGCTCGGCGAGGGCGAGAATGGCGGGATTCAGCTGCTTGCGGCACAGCTGCTTGCCGGGCGGGCGGATGAGAGAGGGGTCCTCCATGGCGTTACGGGAGTACTTTATAAGGAGGATGGCCCAGTACAGCGCGTGGCCCTTCTTGGAGCATGCCCATCTGTGGTGGGGCGGCAGGAAACGGCACGATGTGGGAGCAAGGGGGTGGGTATGCGAATGTGTGAGGGCTGAGAGCAGCAGTCAGATCATGGGAGCGTGTGGTGTAGCTCGGAGCAAAGGCATCTGGGTGGGACGGAGGGAGAGGCACAGCATGATGGTATGTGATGGCCGGAATATGCATGGATTGTAAGCATGGGGATGGGGAGGTGCACGCACATGGGGCAGGAAAGGCATATGTATGAGCAGGCACTGACAGCATGGCGCAGCAGTCGGATGGTTTTGAAGCGCCTCAGCAACAACCCTGGGAATCACTTGGGCGCCAAGTGTTGGCACAGTGGCACACGAGACAAGACGAGATGAGGCGAGACGAGACGAGACTTACTTGGCGATGCGCTTGCCGGCGAGGGCCATGCTGCGCACGTGCCTGCAGTGGTTCTGATTTGAGATGACTGATTGAGTAAGCCACAAGTCACTCACTTGGCGACGCGCTTGCCCGCCAGTGCCATGTTGCGCACGTGCCTGTCGTGGTTCTGCGCCCACCGCAGCTTCTCCACCAGGTTATCAAAGTGCCGGTTGGCCGGGATGAAGTTGACGTACGGCTTGAGCATCGGCACAAAGAACTCCGAGTACGGCGACTCCTGCCGGATTGCCACCTGGTGGTGGCGCGTGCACGAGGGGTGGGGTGGGGTGTGGCGGGTGGGGTGGCAGGTGAGGTGCGAGGGACAAGCCATGGGGAGAGAAATATGCCATCGGCTCTGTTCTTGAGAGACACCTGCTATCCTGCAGTGGACGCGCCAGGGGCATAGGTGTTTGTTTAATTTCACCCATGGCACATCCAGTGAGGATGGGCACATCCAGTGAGGATGGGCACATCACTGCAGTGAGGATGGGCACATCACTGCATGTATCCTCGGCACCTGTGCGTGCCTCACTCACCCATGCGTGGTTCTCTCACCTGCGCGCCAGTAGTGGGGATGGGGCACATCTGGTGGTGGTGTGCACTGCTGGGGGGTGGCAGGGGCGCAAGTCTGTGTTCCCATCCCAGCAGCGCAACATAGAAAGCAACTCACTCACCTGTGCGCCAGTGGTGAGGATGGGGCACATCTGGTGGTGGTGTGCGCTGCCTGCCACGATGCCATACTTGAACCGCGCCGGTGCCGCCTCCTCCACTGCCGCCCTGCCCTGCATCACCACCCCATCCGCCTTCATCCTGCAGAGGTAAGGGGAGGGGAAGGAGGAAAAGGCGAGGGAGAGGGGGTGGAGAGAGGGGAGAGGGAGGAAGGGTAAAAAATCTCCAGCTCTGCCCTGCATCACCACCCCGTCCGCCTTTATCCTGCAAGGAGAAGAGAGTGGGAGGAGGGGAAGGCAGAAGGGACGTGGGAGGCAGACAGTGCAAGTTGAAGCAGAGCAGGAGGAAGATGGGGTGGTGATGGGGAGAGCAGCTGGTTGGGCACGAGCAGCGCACGTGAGGGGGGGGCAGGAGCAGCACGGCAGCGGGCGACCATGGCATGGTGGAGATGCTGCGGTGCATCGTGCCTTGCTTGCAGCTCCACATGGGCATGGACTGCCCCTCGCCTTTTCAGGCCGCCTCACCTCTTCCACACCTCACGGCCTCACCTCTTCCACACCTCACGGCCTCACCTCTTCCACACCTCACGGCCTTACCTCTTCCACACCGCACGGCCTCACCTCTTCCACACCGCACGGCCTCACCTCTTCCACACCGCACGGCCTCACCTCTTCCGAACCTTCGACTCTCACCTGCTCCTGACCTCAAGCTCACAATTCTCCCGAACCTCCAGACCTCACCTCTTCCGAACCTCCAGGTCAAGCTCTCTGCTCCACCCGTACAGCTTCGCGTCCAGCAGGTCCGGCCGTGCCTCTGACAGCCTGTTGGGTGGCAGGGTGGGCAGGTTCGGCAGGATAGGCAGGTTCGGCAGGATGCGTGGGATGAGAGCTGGGCAGGAAAGAGGTGCAGGGAGAGGAGCGGGGAGAGGGGTGGGGGGACAGAGGGGAACACAGCAGGGAGAGGAGAGGGAAGCAGGCTGGGAGGGGAGAAGCAGTGGGCAGCAGTGGGCAGCATTGGGCAGCAGTTGAGGGCAGTGGGCGGCAGTTGAGGGCAGTGGGCGGCAGTTGAGGGCAGTGGGCGGCAGTTGAGGGCAGTGGGCGGCAGTTGAGGGCAGTGGGCGGCAGTTGAGGGCAGTGGGCGGCAGTTGAGGGCAGTGGGCGGCAGAGCAGAGGCGAGGGGCGCACCTCTGGAGGCGGATGAGGGGGTTGGCGCGCCAGTTGGGCACGTCCTCCAGAGGCAGGCTGCTCACGGGCCCGCGGAATATGGCGCGGCTCTCCTTCTCCTCCCATGGGATCTGCCCGCGCGGAGAAGGATGAGTGGGGGGAAGGAAAGGGTGGGAAAGAGGAGTGGCAGATGTGTCTCAGATCAGAGGCAGGCTGCTGATGGGACAAGGCGGCGGTGAGTGGTTGCTCTCTTCTCCTTGCCATGGGGAGCAGCAGCACACCCCTTGAGTTGACTCGCCACCAGGGGCCATGCAGGTGACTACCCACACCACACCACACCACACCACACCACACCACACCACACCACACCACACCACACCACACCAAACTGTCGGCGTGTCTGACTGTCTGTTTTGCCCTGCACAGCCCTTTTGTTGACTAGCCAGCTCAGCCCATGCAATGCCATGCCATGCCATGCCATGCCATGCAATACCATGCCATGCCATTCCATACCATACCATGCCATGCCATGCAATACCATGCCATGCCATGCAATACCATGCCATGCCATACCATACCATACCATGCCATGCCATGCAATACCATGCTATGCCATGCCATGCAATACCATGCTATGCCATGCCATGTAATACCATGCTATGCCACAGAACACTTCCCCTGCCTCCTTGCCCCCAGACTCCTAGCTCCCCACCTCGGTCTCCGGTGGGGGAGGCACGTTGATATTCTCGTTCAAGTCGAGCGGGTCGGGCACGGCCATGTCAAGGCTGCCCTCCACGGTGCGCGTGCTCATCAGAGGAAAGCCCACCGCCCGCTGCCCTCCCACGTCGTTGTCATAGCTGGCCGGCAGGTCGCACACGTTCAGGAAGAACTCCGCTGCGATCGAGGAGAGCTCGAAGCGTGTGACTGCGAGCTGGGGAAAGGCGACAAGGGGCAGAGAGAGGACCGGGACAGGGCCCAGGGGAGAGGGGAGAGCATGAGGGGGGGATGTAGCAAGCTGGCAGGCAGGTCGCACACGCTGAGGAAGAACTTCGCTGCGATGGATGAGAGCTCGAAGCGTGTCACTGCGAGCTGGGGTTGTAGGGAATAGGGGGCCAAAAAAGGGGAGAGCATGAGGGGGGATGAGTCGTAGCTGGCGGGCAGGTGGCACACACTGAGGGCAGCTCTCTTTAAGAACTCCGCTGCTATTGATGCGAGCTCGAAGCCTGTCACTGAGAGCTGGGAAAAGGGAGGAATGGTGGAGGGAACAGGGGCACGGGGACAGAGGTAGAGGGGAGCATGTGGGGGGATGTAGCTGGCAGGCAGGTCGCACAAGATGAGGAAGAACCCCGCTGCTATTGATGAGAGCTCGAAGCACGTCACTGCAAGCTGGGATGGTGGACAGCGGGCAGGGAGCGGGGTAGGGGACACAGACAGAGGGACAAGGGGACAGGGGGGCATAACTGGCAGGCAGGTGGCACATGTTGAGAAAGAACTCCGCTGCTACTGATGAGAGCTCGAACCGTGTGACTGCAAGCTGGGGAGGGGAGGGGAGAGGGAATATGGCAAGGGGCCGGGAGACAGTGGAGCATGAGGGGGATGCAGCAGGCAGATCAGCAGGTGGCACACGTTGAGAAAGAATTTTGCTGCTATTGATGCGAGCTCGAACCGTGTGACTGCGAGCTGGGGATGGGGACAGGGGGCAGGGAGGGGGGTAGGGAAGACAGACAGAGGGACAAGG